AGTAAAGGCAAAGGAAAGTCTCAAGTTTAATAGCCAAAATAAAGTATTTATAACAAAAATGAGTTTCTTAATTGTGTGTCTTTGATTTTTATGCACTTTTGAACTTTTGATCTACGACAAATTCTTCGAATCACTGTAAATTCTTGTGTTTTTTTTTTTAAAATCTTTATGCACTTTTTCTTATTATCTATGCAATATATTTTCTTTACTTTAAACTCCAACTATTTCTTGAAAAAATTTATTTTTCACTCTGCAAATTTGTGTATCTTAGATAAAATTTTATTGGACTATATGGCTAAGCAATCAATATAAACTTAAAAGGAAGTATTGGAAATTTAACTTAGTGTTAAAAATTTAAGTATAATACTTTACCATTTAAAAAAAAAATCTTTAAAAGTATATTCACCCTACTCCGTATTCTAGACACATCGTAGAATTTATTCTCGTTCTCCCTATACTATATTATTAGAAATATTACCATTTACCATTCATATCATTGGGACTAAGTGTATCCTTATAATAAATATACATATTTTCATCATGTACTTTACATCATCATGGATTGATCAATAATAAGATTATTCCTAGAACTATTGTTCTCATTTGGTGTCAGTAGACCAAAGATCCATGGCTACAAACCCTACCAAGGAAAAAAAAAAAACCACCGCCAACACTAGCCCCATCGCGCCGCTGTCGTCTGGTGACATCCAACCATAGCCCCAATAAATACCCTACAGACAGCCCATCACTTTATCTCCATTAAACATACTTCCTTAAACTATTCATTCTAGAAGACTCAACTTGTTCTTTTTCTCCACGACCAAAGTCTTAGTGGATACATTGAAGGCACGTTTCTGTGTCCGACTTCATTTATTAACGCTTTGGAAGAGTGTTTTGTTGTAGCTGCACTCTAAATGAGTGTTCTGTTGTAGTCAATTCTACATAAGTGTTCTGTTGTAACTGATCCTGTGGTCCTGCTTGAGTGTTCCGTTGTAGCCAAGCCGTTAATTTGGAGGAGGAGATCGAAGAAGAAGCCGTTAATTTGGTGGAGGAGAATAACAAACCCAAATGGTATTAACTCTATTTATAGTGTCCAACAATGATGCTTAATGTTAACATTATGATTATATTATAATAATTCAAAAAATAATAATAAATAAATAATACAAAACACATAATCTATATTATATTAAAATGATTAATTATTTGTTTAGTTTTATGTTTATATTAAGAAGATTTAATTATTATTTTTAATTATGATATGATAAATATCAGGGTTGGATTAGTAGTTCCGTAGTCTTGTGTCTGAACCCAAATGAATATGACTACTAGTCTACTACGGTCAATGATGTGAGCAGTAAACAAAACAGGCTGGGTGGTCGAAAGTGTCTAATGTGTCGAAAGAATCCAAAGGTCCTTCCCTCTAGCAATTAATGCACCTTTTATATGTGACGCAAGGTGAACATGACAGGCTATCGACATGTCTTACATGTTTTGAGTGTAGGTTGGGTAGTCATAATTATCATGCCAAGTGTTCAGATGATACTAAAAATGTAATGAATGTGATATGACTAGTTGTTCTGTACAAGGAGTATCTTTGAATTAATTGTGTGGCAAAAGGCTTAGCGCCCGATCTTGTTAATGGATTTCCTAGTCAAATCTAGTCGGGAGAGGTTAGTGCGAAATGGAGTTCACCAGGCGTTTGTTTAGGTCAAGAACCCTGGTATGGAGATGGGGTTAACAGTGGTCGAAGATGATCAGTTCCGACCAGTCTTATTGAGATACGTCTAGTCGTACTCGTATATTCCCTATTAAAGTACATGTATATTTTAAAGAAAATAACATTTTTGGTTATCCAGTTATACTCATGGCACATACTTAGTCCCTAATTTATATGGAAGGACCAACGACCACAAGAAGTAAACCAACAGATGTTGTACATAATTGACCGGCGGCTCAAACAAAAAAGACCAATACGCAACTCGACTTTCGTCCCTGCTCGACGGGTGGGTCTTGCAGTCAAGCTCCCTTCTGCCTTTGCACTCGAGGGCCAATCTCCGTCCTGCCCGAGGAAACCTTTGCACGCCTCCGTTACCTTTTGGGAGGCCTACGCCCCATAGAAACTGTCTAAGCTGCGCAGGAACTTAATTACTTGTATATATTTATATACGTTTTCGGTGTCGATTTATACCTACTTTTTTTTTTTTTTTTTTTTTACAAAAGAAGCGGGATACCCACATATACTACCATGTTCTTAATATCTTATATATGCAGTTTCAGAACATATATTTCTTTGAAAACATTGCATTTATTAGCATAAAAATTAATTAAATGATCAGTTAAATTAATTAAGAATGTAACATAGTTAATAAACAAAGATAAATTGTCAACTACTACGTAGTATGATGTCACATATATTATCATTCCAAATAAATGGTTACAAGATTAAATTCAGATGGTGAGTCATTGATTCTTTGGACGGAAAAACTTTTACAAGGCGTTTGGTTGAAGGGAATTTAAATTCCCTTCCCACTTAATTCCCACCTAATTTCAAAGGCCACAAAATTCCCTTGTTTGGTTGAAAGGAATTACAATTCCATGGATTGCAATTCCCCCATTTTCATGGAATTAAAATCCCATGTCCCCCCCCCCCCCCCCCCCCCCCCCCGGATTTTAATTCCTGGGATTTGAGGAAGAAAAAAAGACAGTGATGAGTCAAAATTACCCCTTTCTTTTTTAACCTAAAATTAATGCCTAACAACAACAATGGACATTTTTGAATTTATACTATTTATTCCCTTTCAATTCCCATGTATACCAAACATTGGAATTGAAATTCTTAGTAATTCTATTCCTGTAAACCAAACACTGGAATTTAAATTCCCACTTTATTTCCAGTAATTCATCTCCCATGGAATTGCAATTCCTTTACCACGTAATTCTCCATCCCCAACCAAACGCCCTGTTAGCCTTAGCATTTGGGGATAGATAGATACCTCTGGTGGTGACACTCAGTTTCCTTTTTGATTTGGTTTATACTTTAGAGGTATTACTCTTCCATAACTTTATTACCAAAAAAAAAAAAAAGCCTGAATTTCTGATTATAAAAATGGGGATGTTACAATTTTAAAATGAGAAATAATATTCATTCCCTTTGGGTACTCTCTAGTTTATCAAATTGTCAAACCCTTTGGGTATTCTCAAGTTTATCCACCTATTTTCTAGCATAGATGCAGTTACTATATACCAAATAAATGAATTGCAAGTTTCTCTCTCTCTCTCTGTAGAGTGTTTCCTCTCTCCTTGTGAGTGTTTGTGTGCCATGTCTGTCTTTGCCCTACTGTCTGTCTCCATGGAGAAAGGTGATTCGTCAGGATTATCAAAAGCATGTGAGGCTCTGGCTATTGTGGATGATGACGATGGAGTCATTGTTGAGATGGACGACGTCCAACTCCCAAGTTACGATCTGCGCTTCGCGGCGGTGGGTCGAGTGGTGACGGAACGCCCGGTGAAGCTGGTGATATTCTGGGATGTCATGGCTACTGCGTGGCGTCCAATGAAGGGAGTCATGGTTCGTGATCTGGGTTCGAACAGATTTTTGTTTGTTTTCTACTGTGAACGAGACATCTCTCGTGTGACTTCCGATGGTCCTTGGACTTTCGATCAGAATCTGGTTCTGCTCCGGCATGTGGTGAACGGAGAAGACCCGATGGCAGTTCCTTTGAACTCTGTGTCGTTTTGGATGCAAGTTCATAACCTGCCAACCGGCTTCATGTCTGAACGAGTTGCTCAGATTGTGGGTAACCATGTTGCTGAGTTCGAGAAGGCAGATAAGAGAAATTTTGATGGTGGTGAACGAACGTTTATGCGGGTTCGGACGAAGATAGATGTTACGAAGCCTCTGAAGGCTAAGATGAAAATGAAGAAGCCTGGCGGGGAATGGTTTTGGCTGGAGCTCCGCTATGAGCGTCTCCCTTCGTTCTGTTTTGAGTGCGGAGTGATTAGCCACCGGGACAAGTTTTGCCCGGTGGCCGCCGATAAACCAGTGCAAAATGAGGATAAACCTTTTGGTTCGTGGATGAGAGCGGGAGGCCGCCGACCGGCAGGGACTCTGACGAACAAGTGGCTGGTCTTGGAGGATCCGCCAACGCCGGTGGTGCCAGTTGGTTCGGTAACGGCGGGCGTTACGAAGGGGAGTGAGGGAGCAAGTGGGGTGGGGGACATGAATGTTGAATTAAATGAGGGAGATAATGAGGGGGTAGTGGTTACTGAAACGAAAAGGTGGAGAACAGAAAGTGTGGAGGAAACAGGTCAAGATAAGTGGACTAGTCCTATGACTATTGAGCAGCAAGACTTTTCTTGTAAGGTGGGCCCTGGTACCCAGGCCCACCCGACCCAATGAATCTGTTAAGTTGGAACTGCCGTGGGCTGGAAAACCCACTGGCAATTCAGTTCTTGGTGGGCCTGGTTTGTCAAAAAAGGCCCAATGTTATTTTTTGTGTGAAACTTTGAGTGATGCTAGAAAGCTGGAGCGGGTTCGAGTTACTTTAAAATATGATAATTGTTTTGTCGTGGATGCTAACGGTAAAAGTGGAGGGCTGGCCCTCTTATGGAATTCCGGGATAGATGTTGAGGTGCGGGGATATTCAAATCACTACATCGACGCTGTGATTACCAGTGATGGCGGAGATTCCCGTTGGTGCGCCACAGGGTTCTACGGTAATTCAAACCGATATCGGAGACGAGAATCGTGGGATTTGCTAAGGTACATTTCCACTCTTTACGATCTCCCTTGGGTTCTTCTTGGGGACTTAAACGATCTGATGTGGAGCTGGGAAAAGGGGGGTAGGGTTCCCCATCCTCGATGGCTTCTAAGGGGATTTGGGGAGGCTGTTCGATGGAGTGGTTTATCAAATTTTCCCTTTGAGGGGTGTCAGTATACTTGGGAGAGGGGTCGATGAACTAGAGATTGGTCTCTGGAGGGGAGCACGAGTGACCACATGCCTCTTCTGTTATCAGTGGATGCTGGGCATAGACCGAGATTTAATCGACGACCTAGGTTTGACAATAGCTGGGGGAGAAATCTAGAATGTAAGGAGGTGGTGGAGAGGGAATGGGGGAGGCTGCAAGGGTGTGCGATTGGGGATAGGCTTCGGGTGTGTGGCAGTGGGGGGAGAGGCAGAATAGAGGGGAAACAGAGAGGATACGGTTATGCAAACAGGAGATGGCGAGGCTGTGGGGGAGGAGAGATGAGGAGTGTGCTCGTTTGTTTGCTAACTGTCACAGTCGGTACCTGAGTATCCTTCGTGCTCAGAAGGAATGGTGGTATAAGGGGGGCGGGGGGATAAAAACTCAAAGTTTTTCCATAATGCCATGAATAGGAAGAGGAGGCGAAATTGTATATGTGCTTTACGAAATTCTGAGGGGGAACTTACGCGAGATGAGCACCAAATGTGGGGAATTATGGTTGAATATTTTTCCACTCTGTTTACATCAGTTGAGGGAGATGCCCGGTCTATTTTGGATTGTCTGGACAATAGAGTATCGGCGGGGCAGAATGCTATGTTACTACGGGAGGTCTCTGCGGAAGAAGTAAAAGGGGCTTTGTTTGCAATGCACCCGGACAAATCCCCCGGACCTGATGGTTTATCGCCGGCTTTTTTCCAGAACTACTGGGCTATAATTGGATCCGAGGTAGTCTCTTTCTGCCGTCTTTTTATGAGTTTTGGAATTCTGCCTGAAATATAAATGATACTCATATTATGCTGATTCCCAAATGTCATTCCCCCGAGTCTATGTCTGAGTTTCGGCCTATTTCTTTATGTAATGTTGTGTATAGAGTTGCTGCAAATAGGCTGCGTGTGGTGCTTGATTCTATTGTTTCTCCTGCTCAGAGTGTTTTTATCCCCGGTCGGTCCATTGTTGATAATGTCCTTATTGCTTTTGAGTCTGCCCACTGTTTGAAACGCCAACCTGGTGAGAGGGGGGGTATGGGGCTCTAAAAATAGATATGAGTAAGGCTTATGATCGGGTTGAGTGGGGCTTCCTGTGTAAGGTTCTTGAGAAAATGGGGTTTATTGAGCATTGGGTGAGGTTGATGAGGGAGTGCGTCACTACTGTGCGCTACTCGATTCTGGTGGAAGGGAAGGAGTGGGGGCCGGTGGAGCCGGGGAGGAGTTTAAGACAGGGGGATCCGTTATCACCTTGTTTATTTATTCTGGTTGCAGAGTGCCTTAGTGCTATGTTGAGAGCTCGGGAGGAGGAAAGGATTCTACATGGAATGAGGGTGGCAAGAGTAGCTCCAGCTATTTCCCACCTTTTTTTCGCCGATGATTGTCTTTTTTTTTTTTAGGGCAAATAACTTTGAGGCAGGGGTCCTGGATGATGTTTTGAGGGAGTACGGGGATGCGAGTGGCCAAGAAGTAAATCTGGGGAAGTCTTCTATTATGTTTGGCCGAAATGTTCATAGGGAGGATAAAGAGGCTGTTTGTGAGAAGTTGGGAATTCATGAACAGCAGGGGCAAGGCAAATATCTGGGGTTGCCAGGGTATATTGGTAGAAAGAAGCGAGAAGTTCTGGGGTTTATTCGGGATAGGGTGAGGGCTCGTGTGATGCAATGGGGCAATCGTTTCTTATCTAGGGGGGGGGGGGGGGGGGGAAGGAGGTCCTTTTGAAAACAGTTCTACAGAGCTTTCCCAATTATGCTATGAATGTGTTTCTGCTTCCCCTTGGTTTGTGCGATGAGATAGAAAAGGTTATGAATTCTTTCTGGTGGGGTTGTGAGAGGAGGGAAAGAGGGGGGATAAGGTGGAGTAAGTGGAGTGACTTGTGTGTGCCAAAAAAGTTTGGGGGGATGGGTTTCCGGAGAGTTCGTGAGATGAATTTAGCCATGTTGGGAAAGCAGGGTTGGAATTTTCTTACTAAGCCCGATGCTTTGGTTACAAAGGTGTTTAAAGCAAGATATTTTCCTAATTGCTCTTTCCTTGAGGCGAAGAGGGGGTCTAATCCATCCTTTGTCTGGTCCAGTATTTGGGAATCGCAAACTGTGTTGGAAAAGGGGTTGAGGTGGAGAGTGGGGAATGGAGAATCGATTAGAGTTTGGGGGGATCCGTGGCTTCCGGACGAGCTAAACCCGTGTATTGAAACCCCGATACAACACTATTTAGAGAATCCTTTCGTGAGATCCCTCATGTGTGTGAATACCAGCCAGTGGCACTTAGGGGTGGTGAGAGACATTTTCTGTGAGCGGGATGTGAAAAAGATTATGAGTGTGCCTATTCCATCCGCGGGGGTTCGGGACTCTTTGTATTGGTATAAAGAGATGAATGGGCTATATTCGGTTAGGAGTGGCTATAGAGTCGCTACTGGCGAATTGGGGTATGGGGTGGAGGTGGTATGGAGGGGATTATGGCATTTAAAAATCCCACCAAAAGTCAAATGTTTTTTCTGAAATTTGTGTACTTTGCGGTTGCCCACCACGGATGCTTTATTGGTAAAACGTGTTCCATGTGATCCCGTTTGTGGGCTGTGTGGTAGAGCAAATGAGAATATTGTTCATGTGTTTGCTAATTGCGATTTTGCTCATAAATGCTGGCTCGTTTTGAATGATCAGTGGTTGCTACGACATGTGGGTTCTATTGATGAGTGGATGGATGAGATGTGGCGCCTTCCATCGAAGGAGCTGCTGGAGCGTGTTGTGATGGTCACATGGGCAATATGGGAGGCACGAAATAAAAAGCTCTGGAAGGGTATGGTCTTGGAACCGGCGAACTTGGTGCATCACGCAATTATGTATGCGGATTGCTGGCGGCAGAACAATGGGATTGACATGGGTGGGATGCTCCCAACTGTGTCGGATCATCACACTATCTAAGATGATTGTATGACCCCTGGAGATGTAAAGGTAAGAATTGATGTAGCAATGGACCATGAGCATAACCGCATGGGTTTTGGGTGGTGCGTTTTTTATTGGGATGGAAGGGTGATGGGGGTGGTGATGTTTGCCAAGTGGGGTCTGTATATGGTTCGAGAGGCTGAAGCGGTGGGAGCTAAGGAAGCTTTGAGTTGGATAAAGGAAAGGGGATGGGGGAGAGTGGTCTTGGAGACGGATGCACAGGTGGTGACACGAGCAGTAGCGATGAACGAAAATATCTCACCTTTTGGTTCTATCATTCAAGAGATCCGCGAGCTGCTTCATGAATTGCCTATGGTCGCTTTCCGTTTCGTTCAGCGTCGGGACAATGGGATGGCTCATTTATTGGCCAAAAAAGCTCTTAGTTACATAGGGGAGGATAGACTTGAGTTCTTTGACTGTATTTCACGTTTTCTGAGTGGTTCCCTGTGTAACAGAATTTCTCGTTGATTTTATGGAAAAGTTTTGGTTTTTCAAAAAATTGTATATATATATATATATATATATATATATATATATATATATATTCAATGAGATATTAAGGCCATCTCCCATGAAGGCACCAAACCACTATTTTGATGTAAAAATTTGGTACAACACTATTCACACACATATATATATATATATATATATATATATATATTCAATGAGATATTAAGGCCATCTCCCATGAAGGCACCAAACCACTATTTTGATGTAAAAATTTGGTACAACATTACTCCAATGAAGATACCAAATTGTATACCAAAATGGTGTAAGTGAATAGTGTTACACCAAATATGGTGTAACCCAATTTATTTTTACCATTTTGGTGTGGAACTTTTTAAATTCTTTTTGCTAATTGTTTCTTTTTAAAATTTATATTATTACAAATAAGCCAAGCACCTTGTGCTCAGATGGCATGTAGTGACTCTTCCATATGGGAGGTCATGAGATCTCATTGAGAAGTTTAAAACGAGAACAGATACTACAATGTAATAGCGTTAGGTTGTAAGATCTCATTGAGAAGTTTAAAACGAGAACAGATACTACAATGTAATAGAGTTAGGTTTTAAGATCTCATTGAGAAGTTTAAAACGAGATCAATATCGACAGAAAATAAACTATAAGAACATAAATTATTTTAGTGTATAAACAGAATTTGGTGTAAATGGATTGGAGATGGAATAAAATTTGGTGTAAATGGGTTGGAGATGAAAATAATTTTTAGGTTTTAAGATCTCATTGAGAAGTTTAAAACGAGATCAATATCGACTATAAAATAAATTATAAGAACACAAATTATTTTAGTGTATGAATAGAATTTGGTGTAAATAGATTGGAGATGAAATAAAATTTGGTGTAAATGGGTTGGAGATGAAAATAATTTGGTGTAATAATATGAAAGAGTTAATTCCAGCAAGGGTCCTTCGACTATAATGATTTTCCACATTTAGTCATCGTCTTTTAATTTGGACAAATTTGACACTTGACTATCAAAATATTTCCACCATGGTCCTTCCGTTATCTCAGCGTTATTTAGACGTTAATTTTATGGGCAAAATCGTCTTTTCAGTGCTTGGTTGTCTTCTCAAGTGAGTCTGTCCAAAATCCTAATGAAAACAACCCAGCCAATTGTAGATGTAAAGGCCTGTAGTTTCTCTTTGCTCCAGGTGAAGCCATAAATGGAATGAAATTGAAGTTCATTTAGATTTTAGAAGCCACACTGTAATTTTCCTGCCTTATTCGAGTTGTCTGCCCTTATTTCTCCACCCGCTGCCGCCGCTCTCAAATATTTATTTATATTCCCAAAGTGGAAAACAAACTCGCCCAAATATTGAACATGGCAGCGGTTTCCAGGACTTCCCTCCATTTTCGTTCCTTAACCCCCTCATTTTCCTCTTCCTACTCTCTCAAACCTTCCCGCCTTTCCGTTCTCCGTTCCTCCGGGAATTCCATCCTGCCCATATCTCTTAAAGGCTTCATGTTCTCCATTTTTAATTACCCATAACCCTAGCAATTACCTTCATTTCCATTTATCTGCAGACAAACGAGAGAGAGAGGGAGAGAGACGCCGAATGGAGAGAGAGAGGGAGGTTGCCGGTCGAGCCGACGGCGGGAAGCACCGCCGTTCACCACCATTTTCCGAGACCCAGATCTCATCCCTCTGCCTTCTCTCTCAGCCAAACCACTGCCGTCGCCGACACCAATTCCGCCGGAAAACCAGCTATGTCGTCATTGCCTCGCCTTGCTGCCACCCACCGTCCGCGCCCGCGACTCCAAGTCGCGTAGTCGACTGGAGTTTGAGGAGTAGCAACGCCATCGACTGCATGCAATGTCTGTTGAAACTCTCCATTCATATCATCGTCAAGTTATTGATCACTGGCAAGGCCAACGAATTGTACACCACTAGGCTGCCTGGGGAGTCTATGCAATTTTCTTGAAGTATTGTCGTGTTGTTCTGGCTTTGGTGAGGAAGAAGACACCCAGTCAATGAAAATACAATTTTACCCCTAAAAAGTGACGGAAGGACCAATGGTGGAAAAAATTTGATAGTCAAGTGTCAAATTTGTCCAAATTAAAAGACGAGGACCAAATCTGGAAAATCACTATAGTTGGAGGACCTTTGTTGGAATTAACTCTAATATGAAATATTCATTTTGGTGTAAAATTTAGTGTAGAATTTATGGCACGTTTGGTTCACGGAATAGGTCTGAAATGGAATAAAATTTCTAATAATAAGCATATTCCTTTGTTCAGTAAAATTTTTTATTCCCATGAACAATATTCCTGGGAATGGCTTATTCCCCCTGCAAGGGAAATAGCTATTACTAGGGCCCCCGGTATTAACCTATTCCTGAGTTCTCAGGAATAGATTTTATATTTTATTTCTAATTTTACCCTTCCTCTCTGTCTCTCGGTCTTTTGCATCTCTATCAATGCTTCGCATTCTTTCTCCAAACGGTCAAAATTAGGTCGAAATTGTTGACTCCCCGGCACCACCACTACATTGGCTGGAGTCTCCAAACCATGTAAGGGCCAGCACTAAGTCTGAGACCACCCGGCGCCATTACTGGATCACCAGCAAGCCTCCGCCACCAGCAACTTCCACTGACGAGGAAGACTCCGTCACAACAGCATACTCAACCACCGGCGTCTCCCACAATGTTGATTGCCATACTGGTAGAAAGGCCAGCAAGGCCACAAGCAATACCAGAGGAAAGGTGAGCATAGCCATCAAAGAGAAAGTACGATTTGGTCTTGGGGTTGATCTTGGTACTGATGATCACAGCGATAATCAATCCGTAAATACCTAACACACCAGCCATAACCACCGCACAATCGACTTCATCACCAGCTCCAGCCTCATCACACCCATCGACGCCACACCTACCCCACTCTTCGCAGTCCCGTTGCAATCTGAGCATGGCGATCGCAATCGCGGGGGTGCTCCACCGACGCCCGATTGGCAATCTGAGCATTGCAATCGCTTCTTTAAGTCCCCGCGGAGGCCCCAGAGAGGTGTGGCTGTCCATTGCCGGCGTAGGTGGCCTCCGGCGCTGTCGAAGACGAAACTGCTTCGCGATCGCAACTTTGCGACAATGGCGTCCGATCCTCTCGATTTTGATGGCGATGGACTGGCGCTGGACGAACGAAGGCACGAGATGGAGTGGTTTACCATCCCGGAAATAGCGTATTGCCTCGCCGGAAAAGACATATCCTTCGCGACGCAAAAACCCTAGTAGACGCCTGACATTCTGGAGGATTTCTTCTGCTGCTTCAGGCGATCTTCCACCACTTCTTGTGTTCGCCTCCATGAGGCGGAGATTTCCACCGATTCAGATTGCCGGCCGGAGTCCACCGATTCATATTGCCGATGGCTTCTGGTGAGAATACATAGATCACAAGGCTTGGGAGAGTTGTAATTGATATTGAATACTCCATAATATTTTTTATAAATCTGATGTAATAATAAATAAATAAATAAATAAATAATTATAATAATATATTTCGTATAAGAATAATTATGTCTTTTATACATATATTTCATTTATATATTCCTTAAATTAATCAAACATTCGAATAACATTCCTAAAGTTTATTTTTTCACCGAACTAAATAATAGAATACAATTTTTGTTTTGTTCCTTACCTATTATATTTCCTGTGTAATAGTAATCATATTCCCTCAAAATTCATTCCGCGAATCAAACATGATGTTAGTGTTTTAGGTTGGAAATGGTCTAAGAAAGTGGGTTTTTTTCAGGATCTTCTTTTCTTCCTCTTTCCCCTACTCTGTATTATTCTGCATATATGATTGTATGATTACACAAGATTGACACAAGGATACACCAAAATTACAATAGCGTAGTAGCGTAATTGATTAAACCAATCGGCAATCGGGTAATAATCCCTAATAATGAGCCGACGTGAACCGGCCAGAAGTCGTCGTCATCATCATGATGATATAAAACGCGACTTCAAATTTCAAAAGCCTCTGAACAAGTACGGACAGCCGTCGCGCGGAGGTGGCCGTACGCCGCCCTCAACAGGCGCCAACTTTAATCCAAACCCTAATCTACACTATTCGCAGAGTCCCAATGCCTTCCCTAATCCTTTACAACATCAGAATCATAACTTTCAGTTCCAGGCTCAGCTTTCGAGGCCGATGGCAGTCGTGGAGAGGATCGATAAGGTAGTGCTGAAGGCTCACCGCGAAATTCTGGCAACTGGAGAGGTTGTGTCAGCATGGAAAGCGTCTCAAGCAGCTCTTGTAATACTTCAGGCTGACACCTGGGACTCTTTGGGTTTCCAAGTGCAGCAAGTGCCCTCTCTTCACCGCCTTATGCTCACCGAAGGAAAGGTTCGAATGACTATTGGTTGTATTAATCGTTGGTTGAATTTGATGTGTTCCCCAAGTTTTGCATTTAATGAAAACTATAAATTAACTCATGACATGACCATTGCAGATCATAGTAATGAAAACTATAAATTAACTCATGTGTTGCATTTAATAGTAATTTTGTATAATATATCATTTACTTTGGGGAACTTGTTCATTTGTTTGAATACTTTTCAATTTTGATTTATTTCTTTATTATCAAGTTCAACGGGCAATTAACTTTGTGATTAGCCAGGTTGTATAATTTTGTGCACCTCTTAAGCGGTAGTCCTTCACCTGTAAGTGTATTGGGGCACACACTAAAGTTGATTGGATAAAATGGATCAATTAAGATTCATGGGAATATAAGAAAATTCAATTGCTCCAAAGTTTGAGGGGCATACCTATAGTGTCTCCTTGTTTTTCTACATTCATATGCAAATAGGAATCTTGTAGACCTCTCAAAACTTTTCTTATATCTTTTTTTTTTTTATTTATTTTTTTTTTTGTAGATTAATGCTTTCATTCACTGCTTTGTTGGTGCTCGAAGAATTACAACATTGCATGATTTGGAAATTGCAATATGCAATACAGAGGGGGTTGAGAGGTTTGAAGATCTGGAATTGGGGCCTTTGGTGAAACACCCATTAATTATACATTATTTTTCTCTCAGTGCTGATGCCACAGAAGTGTACAGAATAACAAGTGAAGAGATAGTGTCATTGCTTTCTGAGTTCATGGATATCAATAAACAAAGATATGTAGAAATTGAGGAGCTTTTGGATTTTATTGCAAAGAAGAAATTTGTAACAACCAAGGAAAAGCTTGGTGTGCGAATTCAAAGCTTGGGGTATGTGCTCCTTTTCTTTTAAATGAATGTTTGGTGATTTATATTGGTAGATCAACAGATGCTATTGTGGTTTAAGTTACTTTACCATTGTTATAGTGAGACAACTAGGGCCCGTTTACTAACAGAAAATTGTTTTCTGTTTTCTGTTCTCTATTTTCGAAAATTCTCTGTTTTCAATTCTCTGTTTTATATTCTTGTTTTCGAAAACTGGAATTAAAAACTTGTTTACCAATTCTTATTTTCAAAATTCATTCTCCACTTACTAAATTTACTATTATTATTATTATTATTATTATTATTATTCAAAAACTTGCTATGAAAATAAAATAAAAATCTCTGTTATTTACTTAACTAGGAGTCTATGAGTCCAGAGTACATTAACTTAATTAATCAACTCTATCATTAACAATTAAATAAAATATTTAAAGAAATCCAATATAATGCAAAAAAAAAAAAAAAAAAAAAAAAGCAATGGAATGCCACTATCTAACAGATATGCACAACTAACTGAACCAAGCCTTTTATCTGCAATTTAAAGAATAAATTGCAGATCCAAAGACTATATTTTAAGCTAATCAACACTTCAGATCCACAGCTAACCCACAACTAGATACCATTTCAACAGATCCAACAGATGATTTTTTAGATTTGAGATATCGATGGCTGAGTTATGCAGGAGCCGAAGGAGTTCCTCGGAGTGTCGCACTGTAGATGAAGTCGCCGGACTAGCGTTGCCAACCCACCTCCATTCTCTGAGTGAGATGGGAAGAAGAAAAAGATGATGGGGAAGACTGATGAAGAAGGAAACAATTGAAGGAGTGAATGGGAAGAAGAAAAAGAGGTTGGGAAAACTGACGAAGAAAGAAAGAATTGAAGCAGTAAGATGGGAAGAAGAAAAAAAGGCTGTAGAAGATTGACGAAGAAAGAAGAAAAGTGAGGAAGTAATTTGTTGCGGCTAGGATTCGATGCTTTAGTGGTTACTGTTCAACCGTGTGTTTTCTAAATAGAAAACACATTTTTAGTGTGTCTCAGATTTTCTCTTAAATGGAGAATATTTCTCAGTTTTGAAAATAGGAAAAGAATATAGTAAACACTTGACCCTGTTTTCAGTTTTCAATTTTCGGAAATTCTTGAAAATTTCCTGTTAGTAAACGCCCCCCTAGTGTTTTTGAATTATATACCCTCACGTCAAAATTTCATCTTTTATGTGACCTTGGGAGCCCTAGAGCAGACTTCTCTTTCTTGGCTTGTTTCCTGGTTCTGAAGTTGAGGAATATTTTTAATTGTATTTATGAGTGCTTCACTTAATTACATGACTATAAGCCCATTAACTTCCTTACCCCTACACCTTCAAACCTCTCCTTTTGACAATAAAGTGAGCCCTTAAAGTTTTTTTTTTTTTTTTTTTTTTTTTTTTTTTTTTATCATAAAAAAAATCCTTTTATTTCCTCTTAGAGTCTTAGGGTCCGTTTGGAAACTTGTAAAATGGTTTCTGGAAAATGTTTTCCGAGTTTTCTGTGTTTGGATGCAATAGGAAAATCCAATCAACGGTTTTCCGTTGACTGGGAAAATGTAGGTATTTTGGCAGAAAATGACTTCCGCCAAGTCGCCATTCATCTGGTAACTGCAGAAACCAGGCTTGTTTCCGCAGAGAGTTCCTCTACTCAGTTTTTTGCAGCTGGTGCGGAAACCAGAGGAACCTATGGTTTCCTCAACCGGAAACTAGTCTGGTTTCCGGCCGTGGAAACTCTCTGGTTTCTAGTGCGGAAACTAGAGAGTTCCTTTGGTTTTGTTTTGTATTTTTTAAATATAAAAAAATATTTGTTTTTTATATTTTTATATAAAAAATAGTGTTTTATATATTTTTAATTTTATTTTATTTGTTTTTATAGATAGATAAATAGAAAAAAAATAAAAATAATTTTTTTGGTATATAACTATTAAAAGAGTAAATACCCAAAATAGTTCCTTAACTATAGCTAAATTCACAAATTGGTCATCGACTATTGATTTCAACCAATTAAGTCTTTAACTTTCCAATTTTGACTCAATTTCGTGTTAGACCTGCTCGGTGACACGGGGTTACTTGGATCAAAGCTGTGTGATACGCCCATGGAACAGGGTGTGAAGTTGTTGTCAGGTGAGGGGGAGTCGTTTGAAGATCTGGAGAGGTACATGAGGTTAGTAGGAAAGTTGAATTACCTCACGATTACCCGTCTAGATATTGCGTTTCCAGTGAGTGTGGTTAGTCAATTCATGAGTGCACCTACACAAACTCATTGGGAAGCGGTTATTCGAATTGTGAAGTATCTGAAGGGTGCTCCTGGAAAAGGGGTTCTTTACGCTGACCACGGGTATATGCGTGTTGAGGCGTTCTCTGATGTAGATTGGGCTGGGTCACCTAGTGACAGAAGATCTATGACAGGCTATTGTGTGTTTGTGGGAGGCAACTTGGTCTCATGGAAGAGTAAGAAGCAGAATGTAGTATCGCGTTCAAGTGCATAGTCTGAATACAGGGGCTATGGCTCATGTGACTAGTGAAATAGTCTGGGTGCATAATATTCTAAAAGAAGTGGGTATGGAAGTGAAGTTACCAATAGATTTGGGGTGTGATAATTGTGCCGCCATACACATCGCGAATAATCCGGTTTTCCACGAGCGGACGAAGCATATTGAGGTTGACTGCCATTTTATACCGGAGAAAGTGGAACAAGGACTAATATCTATTGCGCACATCCGGAGCGGTGATCAATTGGCTGACATATTCGCAAAAGGGCTTAGTAGGAGTCGGGTTCTATATATATGTAACAAGTTGGGCATGTTTGACATCTATGCTCCAACTTGAGGGGAGTCCTACTATAAGTTTGTATATATAGGCACCTATGTACAACATATTCATTTGTACAGCTTAATGCATAAACACCTCATTACATACGTTCTACATTCTTTTTAAGATTGGAAAGATGCACAATAAATACAATAAATACTAGACTTCTCATTATTCTAGGAAAAACTATTCATCTACTAAAGACAACTTGAAGTAAATAGGGCTGCAAAAAGCCTGCCCAAGACAAGATATTTTCAATATACAATAAATACTAGACTTCTCATTATTCTAGGAAAAACTATTCATCTACTAAAGACAACTTGAAGTAAATAGGGCTGCAAAAAGACTGCCCAAGACAAGATATTTTCAATATATATATATATATATATATATATATATATATATATATATATATATATATATATATATATATATATTTAATACTCATCGCCTAGGTAGTCGGTGGCATCTTGGCTAGGAAGTCCGCCTTATAACCATGCCATAGATGGAAAAACACAATGTAATTTTTCTAGGTTAACAATTGAATATTGCTAATGTGCTTGCTGTTTTCTTATGGGCGTGCCAATTTTAAGCAGTCAAGTTGTTGTCCCCATTGTCATTGCAGCTGTACAATATGTAATTTATTTTTATGTTTCTGGTAAAGAAGTTTGATAATTTTCTGTTGACTAATTGCAATGTAAAGACTAATTGTTCATAATTATGCTTATTTGGAATCAATTATACTCGCGCAAATTTGTTCCTCAAATATTAAATTCTTGTTTCTTTCTCTCTGATTTTATTTTCAGGATGCATATCACATTAATCCGACAAGCATGGCAGTTAGAAATCACCACCGTTGCTGAAGAAATTAAACGGCTGGGATGTAGCAAGAGTAGTAAACGATCCGAAAGAAAGAGAAAGTATAGTAATATTCAGAGTCCTGTTACTTCACCTCAAAAAGTGTGCAAAACAAAAAGGATCCAAACACCATTCAGTAGGAAAGAGCAGACAGAAAGTTCTGGCAAAAAGAATAAAAGCCTAGTGAAGCTTAGCTCATATAGCAGTGATTCAATGAAGATGTTCATTACCACTTGGAAGGAGACATGTCAAGCAAACAATGTGTATGAGGTATGGAAGACACTTATTTCATTATGTTATAAGAAGATTCAAAGCCCTTATACCTTTACTCTTTCATAAGCTTTCTGGGTCAAATATTGGGCTGTCAGTTGTTGGCTATAGGCTTCTACTTGAAGCAGGCATAAGAGAATATTTAAGCTAAGATGATGGTGGTTGAGGTGGCTATGTAGCTTCTGTGCAGTATAGTACATGTTGATGTGTTAATCACTTAATCCACTAATTCCAGAAGTCTGTTGAAGCTGAGTGCCTTGATTTTACCATTTTCTACAAGTGAAGGGGTGATCCTCTATAAATCTATAATCATGTCCTATGCATCAGATATATCCCGTTAGATGCATGATATCAATTTGGGTGGTGGGTTTGTGGGGATTGGGGCAATAGATGATTGGGTGCAATTGTGTTTCTGCTTCTTCCATTCCCTTGTTTTCATTTTCTGATTTAGAGGTGTGCTTGTGAAGATTGCATGCATGATCGTTTCCTAATAACTAAGGAATCGTGTATTAATTTCTCCTGTCTCCACAATGTACAAGTCTCTGCTATATATAATCACTATGTTGTTATTGGTCTACTTCTCTTTTAAGATGTTAGTTATTTCTATAAAATGCTGATTCTGGTTTATTATTATTGTTTTAGGTGTTTGAGAAGATGATTCAATTTTATGGGATAATGAAGAGAACAAAAGCAAGCAAATTGTTTTCCTCAGACCCATTTGTTGGCTTGGTTCATATTGCTGTAAGTTTATTGGAAGCATTAACTTTCACATGATGAATTAAGGAGTAAATAATGATTCAGAGATACCTCAGAAAGTAAATTCATATGCACTGGAGTATATCTTCTTCTTAAGTATTTCTATGATCTTCTGCAATCAACATTTTGTAATTTCTTTTAGAATGATCATTAATTAGAAAATTGTGGAGTTTATTAGTGGTTGACTATTTCCATATAATGTCTGATAGTGATATCATTGTATTGGTTTTGGATGCATTTCATCTTTGTTCTAGCTAACATCTGAGAACCCATCAAATTATCTCAAATCACGATAGATATCATACATATTCCATATACGAACATCAAGTTATTTGCTCAATATCTATTAAGTTTGAAGACCTAATGTGTCCTTATGGTTGTATAATAATGTTAGTTAACAAGAATAACAAAAATTTTGTAAAACAATGTTAAAAACTCACATTTTGTTGGACCAAAATGCAGGGGAATGCATATAAACATCATTTTTTTTTTTGTTTTTTGTTTTTTTTTTTTTGTTTTTTTTTTTGTTTTTTTTGTTTTAAGTATTTGGTTTATACTGGTTTAGTTAAGGGTAAATTATTGACACATGCTTGGACAATAGGGAAAGCAGGTCTACATGAACAAAATTCAGTAATTGGAAAACTTTATCTCACATTCTAATGTACGTAATATAGTTTTGTCCTCAAATTAATGAATCTGAAAGATTGTAAACCAAAAGAGAGAAGAAACATGGTCATGCATAGGGAAACTTTTATCACTTCGGGTATGCCATCATGTTATCCTTAATTAAAATAACAAACTTCTTGGTGGGTGTCTTGACTTACATCAGTTTTATCCTTATTCATATGATTCGGTGATTGGTACTATCCTATCAAGCTATCATAACTTTAGATCCTTCTCGGGGGATTATTTTGTGTTGTATTAACATCTTTTGTATGTTTAGGCAGTTGACTCATCGAATTTCATGTGTTTGTGATAGGTAACATCTATTAAAAATGGAATATGGGATAGCATCTATGATACCTTCCAAAGTTTCAGCCAACTTGATGTAGCAAACACAGTTTCTGAGAATTGTTCTGGTTTTATATCCATTGATGTTGAATCACCTAGAAGGAAAGTATCCAGTCTTTCTCCAAAACTTTTGGCACCTGAACATGGTGAGTCAAATTTTGCTGATCTTTTATTCTCCTTTGTGTGTTTTATATTTCTCTGAGTTCTTACATTAAATGATTGTTGGGCCTAACTTATTACGGAGCTTACGTACTCCAAAAAGCAGTTGGGCTACGTAGAAAAGCTTTTAATGCCAGATAAGAGGTAAAGCCTTGTTTTCAAGAGCTCCAAAGTAAGTTGAGGCTTCTAAAATTTTTTGAGAAGCTCAAGCTGAGCAAAGCAAGCCCTAAATGAAGTTTCAAAATCGGGCAGTAATTGGAGCATAATTTCATTTAGAGCAAATTGATACTTGGTTGATTTTTTTATAGGGTTACATTTTTCTTTTTAATACAAAACCATGCGAGACCCCTATGGAGCAGGGTGTTAGACTTGTGGCTGGTGAGGGGGGGCCTTTGACTCTCTAGAGAGATATAGGAAGTTGGTGGGAAAGTTGAACTATCTCACCATTACGCGTCCGGATATTGCTTTTCCAGTCAGTGTGGTAAGTCAATTCATGCAAGTACCTACGCGAACTCATTGAGAGGCAGCAGTTCGAATTGTAAAGTATCTCAAGAATGCGCCCAGTAAAGGCATTTTATATGCTAATCGTGGACATATGAGAGTTGAGGCATTTAGATGCTGATTGGGCAGGTTTGTTGAGCGACAGGAGGTCTACAACAGGGTATAGTGTGTTAGTAGGAGGTAATTTGGTTTCTTGGAAAAGCAAGAAAAATACTATTGTGGCTCGGTCCAGTGCAGAATCTATAGGGCGATGGCTCATGTGACATGTGAGATAACTTGGGTACACAATATGTTGAAGGAGGTTGGTGTGGAAGTGATGAAGCCCATACGTTTTATGGTGTGATAATCAAGCAGCTATACACATTTCAAATAATCAAGTGTTCCATGAACGTACCAAGCATATTGAGGTAGATTGTCATTTTGTGCGTGAAAAGATTCAACAAGGCTTAATTTCTATGGCGATCAACTAGCTGATTTGTTCACCAAAGGGCTCAACAAGGACAGGGTTGAATATATTTGTAACAAGCTGGGCATGATTAATATCTATGCTCCAGTTTGAGGGGGAGTGTTAGAAATGAATAGTCATGGGGATGGACAAGCATAGAAATGAATAGACATAGGAAGTGAAGAGGCTGTAGAACTGTCCCCTATTGTGTATATATAGATCTATGTTGTAGCAGTGAAGAACACACAGAAAAAGGAGAAACACATTCTTTGAAATCCTTTCTTTCTAGCAATAAATACTTCTTCTTCTTCTCATAGTTATGCTTATTTATTTTCCAACATTCTGGTGAACTTTTGTTTGATCACAGTAAAATTTGTAATTTGACGCTCTAAAATAGTTGGTTATGTTTTATTTATTTATTTTTTTTCCCAGATTCTGGTCAACTTTGACGCTCTAAAATCTCTCAAACTCCTATAAAAATTTTTGATTTCTTTTGGGGGGTGCTTGACAAAAATAGTTGGTTATGTTTTATTTATTTATTTATTTTTTCCCAGATTCTGGTGAACTTCTGTTTGATCAATCTAAAGCTTTTTAATTTGGTGCTCTAAAAAACCTCTCAAACTCCTATAAATTTTTTTTGATTGTTGATCTGCAGATCTCACTTTACTCAAAATCTTGTAAGTTTCTACAGGTGTCTCAGTTGAGGACATTGTGAGCAAAATTTCTGCATATCTAGAGATTGAGAATGACAGATTTTACTCCACTAGTTTATGCACAGATAAGTTCATTATCCCGAGGAAACTCTGTAAGCTTGAATCTTGGCTGTCGGAGCAGTTCTCTCCTAAGGGATTTGAGTCACTTGGTTATGGGGATATATGGTCATTCATGGAAAAACACATGCATCTTTCTGTACATGCTTTGCGAAAGAGCTTGAGAGGTGATACTTCTGAGAATATTCCTTTGAAGGCCTCAATGCTTGAGCTTCAGTTGGATGTTTTACTGTCACAGGCTTTGCATCGGTTATTGGACAATGAAAAGTTAAACATGAAAAAGGTTTCAGAGTTGCTAGCTAGACAATTTCCTTTAGTATGTTTTCAGTTGGTACAGAGTGATTCATTGGTAGTATTTGATGATATTACAAAGGAGAAAGCTGATATGAGCTCGAAGTGTGTAATATTTTCTGAAACTTTGTTGAAAACTGATGCATTTAGTAAAAGTGGGAGAAATATCTCAGAAACATCTGGCTTGGAAATTAATATAGGAAGTGAAGCTGGTTTTCATAGTATGTTAACATCCAAAGATGCTATAAAAGTTTTGCTCAATGCTCCAATGCTGACAGATCTAAGCTTGTGGTCACACTGGGACATTGTATTTGCTCCTTCGCTTGGTTCTCTTGTTGGTTGGTTGTTGAAAGATGTTAATAACAAACAGTTGTTATGTTTGGTGACAAGAGGTGGAAAAGTAATTCGGGTAGATCATGCAGCAACCACTGATTCATTCTTAGAAGTTATTCTGCAAAGATCTCCTTTTGAAACAGCAGTGAAGCTGTTATCTTTGTTAGCTTTATATGGGGGGTTCCTTTGGCCCTCCTAAAGTGCTACACTCACAAGGCATTTGAAGTTTTCTCAAAAAATTCACTTGATAATCAGAGTATGCCAATTGGTTTAAATACTGGCTCACTGAGAAGTGAGACCAAAGCTGGAAGAGCCAAGTCTGTTGCATCAAGATTTATACTTGATTGTCTGGACTATCTACCTGTTGAGTGCTGCTCTTTTGCTGTTGATATTTTGCTCTCTGGATTGCAGCAGTTTACGAAAGGTGCTCCTTCAGCTGTGCTGGATGAATGCAAAAAGATTAAACAGCGTGTCATGCTTCATGAAATAGGGTTTTCACTCGGTATTGTGGAATGGATTAATGATTACCACACATTTTCTGCTTCATCATCAGTGAGTAGCTTATCAATGTATTCTGAATCTTCATGCCTACAAGACAACAAGCCTGAGCTAAACATCAGCTCAAATCTATTGCAAGTAGAATCAAAGAAAAGTCCCTTTTCTGAAGTTAAAAATGATTTCTCCTTTGAGACAGCGCTGCATGATGGAGATCATAGAGAAATGAGTCACATTAATAATACTTCTGCTGTTTCTGTTGATTGTTTGGGTGGAGGTCCCCCACATCACTTGTATGACCTTGACCTTGCTCCAGCCCAGTTTATTGAATCTATCAGGCAGGAAGAATTTGGTTTGAATCCAGATATTTCATCTGTTGAAAGTGAATTATTGAATAAGCAACATGCCCGGTTAGGCAGAGCACTCCACTGTCTCTCACAGGAGTTGTATTCTCAGGATTCACATTTCCTTCTGGAACTGGTGAATATTTTATGCATTCTCTATTTTTTTGTCTAGTTTCTGTAACATACAGCAGCCTGGAACTGGCGTGCACTCTACATGTTTGCTGCAATATTTCACTACTCTAGCTTTATTCTCAAGTTTAAAAATTATTCACTACTCTAGCTTTATTCTTGTGGCTCAAAAGTTTCTTTCTGCCTGTTCTACCTCCTTTTTGGTATGCAGCAGTAATTTTGAACGTTGAAGTTATGGTTAACAATATGGATTTTACTGTCTACCATGTGACCGAAATATTCTCAAGATGATATATTTGTAAATATTTAGAAAATACTTTGGAGTACTAAGTTAACATATTTAGCTATATTGGTATGCTATGGATTCTTTACTTTATTAATATGGATAACAAGTTTGATGTTTGTTCTTTACTTTATTAATATAGGTTCATACATATTAATGTATCTAATTGTATTGCTAGTATTCTTAGCTGAAATGGTGGAACAAAGTTAACGTACTTAGTGTTTACAATTTTGCACTCAGCTCAAGTAAAATTAATATTGTTTTGTTGCCTCTTCTTTTAGCTGTCAATTTTAATGTGTTTTAAGACTCTTTGTCCAGATTATGGGAATACCTAAATTATTGTGTCTGTGGGCAATATTTGTTTGATTCAGGTTCAGAATGCTGATGACAACATCTACCCTGGGAATGCTGAACCCACATTGACATTCATTCTTCAGGATAGTGGCATTGTAGTGCTAAACAATGAGCAAGGATTTTCTGCCAAAAACATCAAAGCACTTTGTGATGTTGGGAATTCCACAAAGAAAGGACATAATTCTGGATATATTGGGAAGAAAGGCATTGGTTTCAAATCAGTGTTTCGGGTATTGCACATTATTACATCTGCTGAATTTCTTATTCTTTATATTTTCAACCTGAGTTCTCTATTTTGCAAGAAAAATTTTCTGCTGGAAAAAAACCTTAATTCTCTAAAAGCTTACATTTTCTTCTTATGGTTTCAACTTGTCAAAAGCTTTATATGCCCAAAAAATGTCATGGTTTCCATGGTTACCATACCTTAAGAAGTACCTAGCTTTTATTTGATTGAACAAATTAGTTGCAGCAGTTGACTGTACAAGAAATATGATTGTTATTAACTAAGCAGGTTTAATCCTCATTACTTCTGCTGCTTATGATAAAAATTCTGAACTAAAAGGAGTAAAAGGTGTTCTCAGCTTGTATTCACACAGCCTCTAACTCTAGTACTTTTGGTTCTGCAGGTCACTGATGCTCCAGAAATTCATTCCAATGGTTTCCATATTAAGTTTGATATTACTAAGGGACAGATAGGTTTTGTTTTGCCAACTCTTGTTCCTCCTTGTGACATTGATTTGTATACCAGACTGGTTTATACAGATACTGAGCCCATCACTTCTAACTGCTGGGAGACATGCATTGTCCTCCCTTTTAGATCAAGCATGTTAGAAGATTCTGCTGTAAATAACATTGCATTGATGTTTTCAGATCTTCACCCATCTTTGCTTCTTTTTCTTCACCGCCTTCAATGTATCAAGTTCCGAGACATGCTCAGTAATTCATTTATTGTTATAAGGAAAGAAGTAGTCGGCGATGGGATTGTTAGAGTTTCCTGTGGTAAGGAGAAAATGGATTGGCTTGTGGTATCCCATAAATTACGGGCTGATGTAATTCGTTCTGATGTGCAAACAACAGAAATATCCATGGCTTTTACATTGCAGGAGACAGTTGATGGAAACTACAACCCATACCTGAACCAACAGCCTGTTTTTGCTTTTCTTCCTCTGAGAAAATATGGCCTGAGGTTTATTATTCAGGGTGACTTTGTTTTGCCTTCATCCAGGGAAGAAGTTGATGGAGATAGCCCTTGGAATCAGTGGCTACTCTCTGAATTTCCTGACCTGTTTATTAATGCAGAAAAATCATTTTGCAATCTTCCATGCTTTAGAAATAATTTAGCAAAGGGTGTTGCAGCATATATGAGTTTTGTTCCCCTTATAGGGGAAGTGCATGGATTTTTTTCTAGTCTTCCTCAGATGATTCTTTCTAAATTGCGGATATCCAACTGTTTGATTCTAGAGGGTGAGGAGAATGTGTGGGTTCCTCCTTGCAAAGTTCTGAGAAATTGGACTGAACAGGCTCGCACTCTTTTGCCTGATAGCTTGCTTCGTGAGCATCTTGGCCTTGGTTATTTGCATAAAGATATAGTTTTATCTGATTCATTAGCAAGGGGTCTGGGCATTGAGGAATATGGACCCAAAGTTCTTATCCAGATTTTATCTTCCTTGTGCTGTATGGAGGATGGTTTGAAATCCATGGGCTTGCCTTGGCTATCAGCATGGCTAAATTCCATCTCTGGGCAAAGTTCACCTGAATCTGGGATAGGATCAGATCTCATAAAGACCCTGAGAAAAATTCGATTTATTCCTCTTTCAGATGGCACATTTAGCTCAATCGATGAAGGTCCTATTTGGGTGCATGCTGATGCATTGAGCACTGGCGTTAGTGACAAGTATGGACTAGACAATTTCCCAAGGTTGTATGCTGGACTTAGAATTGTGAATTCTGCCCTAGTTTCTGCAGATACAGCTTATGAAGCATTGTGCTTTCAAGGATATACTGTAGAAAACATATCAAGGATGCTGTATAGAGTTGGTGTTCAGCAGTTATCTGCACATGAAATAATAAAGATGCACATTCTACCTTCTTTTTCTGATGGTCAACACACCTTAGCACATAATGAACTAATGACTGATTATCTTTCTTTCTTGATGTTCCACCTACAATCAAACTGCCCCATCTGTCATCTGGAAAAAGATCTTATCATTGGTGAATTACGTAACAAAATTCTCATTTTAACAAATCATGGTTACAAGCGATGTGCAGAGGTTCCAATCCATTTCAGCAAAGAATATGAGAATCCTATTGATATGATGCAGTTAGTAATGGGAATTAATGTGGAGTGGCTTGAAGTACATAATATCTATCTAAAGCATCCAATTACACAATTGCTGCCAGGAGGAATTTCAAAGTGGAGAAACTTCTTCATGGAATTGGGAATCACTGATTTTGTTCGAATTGTTCAGGTTGAGAAAAGCATTGCTGATCTATCTCCCATAATTCTACAGAATATAACGTGGGATAAGGACTTAATTTCTGGAGGATCAAATGTCAAAGATTGGAAATCTATAGAATTGGTTCATTTGCTATCACAACTGTCTGCTAATCATGATAAAGAGAAATCAAAGCATCTTTTGGAGATCCTTGATTCATTATGGGATGATTGTTTCAGTGATAAAGTTGAAGGTTTCTTTTTTAGTTCCTATGGAGAAAAGAAAGTCTTTGAGTCTTCATTTGCCAGCAGCCTCTGTAATGCACGGTGGATTGTCTCGAGCATGGATGATGAGCTCCACCATCCCAAAGACTTGTTCTATGATTGTGAAGCAGTGCATTCAATTTTGGGTGCCTTTGCACCTTATGCTGTTCCAAAGGTTAGTTTGCTTACGATTTTATATGAGCTTATAAATATCCAGTTCAAACTGGTATTGTTGCCAAATATATGTTTTAAGGTCTTGTTGTGTATTTATTTGCAATTTGCATAGCAAGTTTGGATGCCAATTACTGAGAAAAACCTTTGTAAAATGGTGCTGACAGCTTGCCCTCTAATTTTCTAAATGGCCATCATTTTGTGTGGGCTTGTAGTAATTTACCCCATAAAAGGCTTCTTCAGAAAAATTAAACAAAGAATATTTTCAGAAATATCATGTCATGATTGTCATCTCTTCCTATCCTATCTTCTCCTTCTCTCTCTTAAGATTTTTTATCTCTGCACATCTATTCACTGCTCCTGTGCCTTCTTAAAATCTAGACAGCCTCAAAGCAGTCCTGAAACACCCATATTTCTTTACTGTACCAGTCCATCTAAGCCCCACTTATCCCTCACTTTCGCAAGTTCAAGGGCAACCTACACAGCTTATTATTTCTCCAGGTTAAAGCCCTGCTTGTTTGGTGTTTGGTGCTGGAGTTAGCAAAACCTATTTAAAGGTCATAGCATCCAAAAGGAATAAAATTTGTTCATTTTTCTAAACTTGTGTTTCCATAAGCTTCAAGTTAATAAAAGAAATATACTGCAGATTTGCTATATATGTAGAAACAATAATGCCGTTATTCTTGAACCACATTTTTACTTGGTTTATATTCTCCTATGAAATGAGATCCATGTCATAAATCTGTAGGAATCATTCTGTGTGTTATTGCATCGATGAACATTCTTTACTAAATGTGGAACCAATTAGTATCGCAGCTAATATAATTCTACTTATTATTCCTAGTTCAAATATTTCAATGTTTTTGCTTTGTCTTTCTTTGTTTTGCTTTTCTCTATTCTGTTATTCGTTGCATGTGATATTACTTTTTTACTTTATTAGTTTTACTAAATAATCCCATTTGTGGAATTTTAAGTTGCACAACTGTCTTTTTGTGGCCAGATTGGTGCCTATTATTGTGTAATCTCATTTCTTACTATATTATCTATATAGTATTACTGCTATTATATTGAAATATATGGACACTGCTGCTTTTTGAATTACAGTTTTGCTTACTTTTTCTTGAAGCAGGTGAGGAGCAGGAAGTTGGTGAGTGCAATTGGTTTGAAAACTCAAGTTACAGTTGATGATGCTTTGTCTATTCTTAAGGTTTGGACAAGATCTGAATCATCTTTTAGGGCCAGGTATACCATCTTTTTGGCAATGCCCACAATATAAGAATAGTCTCCTTATGTCTGAAGCTATCTTATTGTTTTGTTTTCAGTACTATTTACAAGTGAAACGTAAGCTTTTCGAAAGATGCATAATTTTCACTTGCTCATCTAATTTTCTAATTCTGTCTCCCAGGTTGTCACAAATGTCTAAATTCTACACATTCATATGGAATCTAATAGCTACTTTTGAGCTACGAGTCGTGAATGATTTATGTGATGGTCCTTTCATATTTGTCCCGCACATATGTGGTTCTTCGCCTGAGGATACTGTATCTGGTGTATTTTTATCACGTAAAGAAGTCTATTGGCACGATTCAACGGGTTTTACTGACCAAATGAAAATGGTCTGTCCTGAACGTGTCAAGGGGTTGACTCAATGCCCTGTTGCTAAAATGTTATGTGGTGTGTATCCTAGCCTCCATGATTTTTTTGTGAATGTGTGTGGAGTGGATGAGTTCCCTCCTTTCCATGGCTACCTTCAGATTTTGATGCAGTTGTCAGCTGTTGCTTTACCTTCAGAGGCAGCTAAGACTGTAAGTATCTAACAGTCTTAACATAGCAAATATAAACTGCTGTTTTTGAGGGTACTGGTGTAAGAATGCAACTAAGGTTTTTGTTTTTGTTTTTGTTTTGTTTTTTTTTTTTTTTCAGGTTTTCCAGGTATTTCTGAAGTGGTCTGAAGAATTGAAATCAGGTTTGCTTAGCTCTGAAGATATTAAATGCTTGAAAGATAATCTTCTGCAAAAGGACTTTATGGTGCTTCCCACAGTACAGGATAAATGGGTATCTTTGAATCCTTCTTTTGGCATCATCTGTTGGTGTGATGATGATAAGTTAAAGAAAGAATTCAAGCATTATAAAAACATTGACTTTTTATACTTTGGAGAACTTATTTGCGAGGAAAAGGAGTTGCTTCACTCAAAGGTCTCAACTCTCATGCAAAAGCTAGGCATCCCTGCAATTTCTGAGGTAAGCTTGACCTCCTTTTGTACTTATTTGCCCACTGTTGTACTTGTGTACAGTTGTCCCTGGATCCTTCAAAGAGTGGTGCTGAATGGGACTGTTTCTACTTTCTATTGCATACTGTGGGTTTTCTTCAGCTGCCTGTGTTGCTCTCTAAATTGGCTTTAAAAAAAAGAAAAACTTGGCCCTTTTAAAGTAAATTTTGCTTGTTCGGTTATGTTGCTTACAAAATCATCTATTGCATAAATCTCTAGAGAGGTGATTTTGGCTATTTTACTGGAAATAACTGGAGCCAAATTACTTGCCCAGATTATTTTTTTTTTTTTTTTAAAGAAAGGAAATATATGGGAACAAGTTTTTACAGAGCTCCATTTATTTGTAGCAGAAATGCCTTGGAAGTTATAGCTCTGCATTATTGTTATACTAATCTATCTCTAATGTGTTTGTGTCTATCTATTTATTTATTTATTTATTCATATAGTAAGTCCACATGCGAACATCAGAGCATTAATGTACTGAAGTTGCATTTTTCTGTACATCCCCTCTTCTGCCAACTATTATGTGTCTTCCCTCCATTTTAAAACTGAATGCAATCCTTGGTCGCCTTTTCTCATAATCTCACTCTTTTTTGGATAAGCTAGTCTATCTCATATATGTATGTATTTACATATGTATGTGTATGTATTTATGTATGTATATATTATATGTATGTATATCCCTGCATTCTTTGAGACACTAAAGTTGCAGTTCTTTTACACACGCACACCTGTTTTTACCTCTAAGACTGCAAATGGACCATGTGATCTGAAGATATATAGAAGGTACAAACTATAAGAGAAAATAATGTATCCATCTGCGTAAGTTGCAGTTTTTTAAAACCCCTGCTTCTGCCCACACATTACCACTGGACCTGCAACTATGCATCTGTAAAGGTTAAAACCAAGAGGACAATATGTTCAATATAAAGCAAATAGCATGGTATGATTTTCTAGTATGCTTCTAATGCAACATAAATAAATTCTGCGAGCATGGTCATAATATTTGTATTCACCTGAAAGTAACTCAGTTTTTCATGTTCTTTCATCTATATGGTTTTTTGGATGAATGTTAAAATATGTAATATTCCTTTGTTGCAGGTTGTAATTCGTGACGCAATATATTATGGTGTGTCTGACCCTAGCTTTGTTGCTTCACTGGTCAACTGGGCTCTTCCATATGCTCAGCGTTATATATACACCAATCATCCCAAAAGATTTTCTCAGCTCAAGCAATCTGGATTTGAAAGCCTGAGATGTCTAAAGATTGTTGTTGTAGAAAAGTTGTTCTACATAAATGTGATTAAAGGATATGAAATGCGATCCAAGAAAAGGTTCGAGTGCAGCTCTCTTCTAAAGGTATCAAAACTTGGCAGTACATTCAGTATTGTGTTTGTTTGCTGTTCAAGTACTAAGTAATCAACAAAGGACAGAAGTAGTTATTAATGTTGTTCATTTACTAAATAACCAGAAATGACACAGTTGTTAGGAGGAGGGAAAAAGTTCCTTTCTGGGTTGTTTGGTAATTATAATAATCCTCATAAAAACTAAATGATGTCTATCTATAGATGCAATTTAAAAGGCTAAATTATTTTGTAACTTGCTGCTGCAATGTTGTTACATTGTTCAATAGGAGTTTCTTTTCTGTTATTTCTCTGAACTTCAGTTAATTTGCTGCACTAAAATGTTTTCCTTTTTCCTTTGCCTGAGTTTCTGTGTTTAGAGTGAATTTTATTGAAGGTGCTTGTGTACGGCCTGATAATAATTTGCAATGTTAAAAAATGTACATATTTGATCTAAATTCCTAATGTTTTCTGTGGTGACTTACAGGACACTGTATTGTATGTTTCTCGAGAATTAGATTCACACTCTGTATTTATGGAACTTTCTCGATTCATTGGTGGTGGAACCCCTGATCTCAACTTGGCCAATTTTCTTCACATGATCACAACCATGGCAGGATCAGGTTCAACTGAGGAGCAGACTGAACTCTTCATTATAAATAGCCAGAAAATGCCGAAACTCCCTGAAGGAGAACCTGTTTGGTCCCTTTCAGATAGCGCGTTTTCAATGGAAAATGAGGAGGCAGTGATGACTAGCTTTGAATCCGGAGCAACTAATGCACCAAATCCAGTCAAGTTCAAGAAGAAACCAGGGAGAAATTCTAATTGGCCACCTGCAGACTGGAAAACTGCACCTGTTTTTCATTCTTCCTGTGCATTTAAATTAAAAACACAAGCAGGCAGTGGTAACCAAGTTTTAAGGGAGGATGAGGTGGCAGAAATTATGAGGCATCCAGAAAAACATCCTCTTGCCCCAGTTGAGATCAATTATAAAGGAATCATTGAAGAAAATTCAACATCAAGTTTACCTGGGGCAGGTGCACAAGATGCTGGAATTTCAGAAGATGGAGGGCAGCTGTCTCTCAGCCCAGCCGATGCTCAACAGGCACTTTTAATGGGTAGACTAGGAGAATTTGTTGCTTTCAAATACTTCAGCGGAAAAGTTGGTAAAGCATTTGTGAAGTGGGTGAACGAAGCTTCTGAGACTGGGCTGCCTTATGACCTTGTAGTGGGAGATCAGGAATACATAGAAGTGAAGGCAACCAAAAATGTCAGAAAGGATTGGTTCAAAATATCTGCAAGGGAGTGGCAATTTGCCGTTGAAAAGGGTGAACTTTACAGCATTGCACATGTCATATTATCAGCTACTAATACAGCTACAGTCACAGTATACAAAAATCCTGCTAAACTCGTCCAGCTTGGTAAGCTGCAGTTAGCCATTACAAATGTGGATTCCTTTGCCAATGATCTTGTGGTCTAGTGGCATGAAGTAGCTTTTCGAATTGGGAGGTCATGGGTTCGAGCCTCAATGAGGGCATACTGATGAGAAGTGTTGTGAGTTGATAATGGTGTGCTGGAGCCTATGGCAAGCTAGAGACCACAAAGTCTGGAATCAAAAGAGCTCATCACCGTATGGTATCCTGCGAGAGGCCAAAATTTTTACATGGCTGGGGGGATGCTAGGTGACTTGGAGACCAAAGGAAGAATAGAGATAATGCCTTGGTGACTAAATGGGAAAAACCTCCTGATGGTTGGCTTAAGTTGAATGTCAATGCGGCAATTGATGACACGGCAGGTAGAAAGATGGGTTGATGGTTGGCTTAAGTTGAATGTCAATGCGGCAATTGATGACACGGCAGGTAGAAAGATGGGTTTTGGATGTGTTTTGCGCGACCAAAATGGCGGCTTTGTTATGGCGAAGGAAGTTCCATGGAAAGGAGTGTTCAATCCAATGGTGGCAGAAGCTATAGGCATTAGGGAAGCTTTGTCATGGATGGAGAATTCTGGTCTGGACAACATACAAGTTGAAACGGACGCCATGGAAGTGCTGAATGGTCTCAAAACTGGCAGAATGAAATACCTCTTTTGATCTGATAATTAAGGATGCATTAAAACTAGCAAAACAGTGTACAAACATTTGCTTTTTACATGTTAAACGATATGTGAATATGATGGCTCATTTACTAGCTAGGAGTGTCATACTCGTATCTAAAACAGATTGTATGGACTCACCATTCCTTATTTGTCCGTGTACGAGTACGATGCTTTAAGCTTTGATTTACTAAGTTAATGCTAATCATTTCTTTCAATAAAAGAAAGTAGTCTTGTTCAACATACACCCACCCCATCGGCAAATTATGCTATGCGCACGGCGCTAAAACGGCGTCGTTTTCCGTGAAAACGATGCTGTTTTAATTATAAAAAAAAAAAAATTGTTCGAAATGCCGTTAACGGCATATTCGTTATGAAATTATGAATATACAGTTATGACATTATGAATGTACAGTTATAGAATTATGAATGTATAGTTATGGAATTATGAACTTACAATTATGAACATAGAGCTTCAAAAATTATGAATGTTCGGTATGGAATTATGAATATACAGTATGGAATTAAGAATGTACAGTTATGAAATTATGAATGTACTGTTATGGAATTATGAATGTACAGTTATGGAATTATGAATGTACAGTTATGAAATTATGAACATAGAACTCTGACATTATGAACTTACAATTATGAACATAGAGCTTCGAAAATTATGAATTTACAGTTATTGAATTATGAATGTACAGTTACGGAATTATGAATGTACAGTTATAGAATTATGAATGTACAGTTATGGAATTATGAATGTACAGTTATGAAATTATGAACACAAAGCTGTGAATATATGCGCTCCTATAACGAAGCGATCTGAAATTAAATTAAAAAAAAAAAAAAAAAAAAAGGGAAGATAACAGTGCCTGACGGCACCGTTATCCGTGCGCATGAAGCACGCTGGGCACGAGCCCACAGCATAACTATCCCACCCCATCCCCAACCCCCCCCCCCCCTAAAAAAAAAAAAGGGTTCTGTTTACTGATATATGTTTAAAATAAATATACATGTTTTGCTTTAGCTTGTAGTATTGTAGAGGGTTTTCTTGGTTCAAGTGGCTTCCCTATTGTAAGCCTTGCATTATTTTGTTATTTAGGCCCTGTTTGGTAAAAAATTGGTCTATAGGCCAATTTTAGCTTATTTGATCACTATTAATTGTTTGATTTAGTTAAAATATCAATATAAATGTTTGGTTAATTAGTTTTTTGCAACTCTAAAAGGCTAAAATTAAAAAAGCTACTCCTAGCAACTTTTTCAATTAGTTTTTTGAGAAAAGAAATTATACCAAACAGTTAATTTACCAAATACTTTTCTACAATCAGCTAATGTTATCAACTATTTATACTCTCTAATTAACACAATCAGCTAACAGCAAACAGCAAACAACTATCAGCTAACAGCCATTTTACCAAACAGGGCCTTAGTCAAAGTGCATATTTTTACTAAGCTGAAATGTCCTTCCTTCCATTAACTACCATCCCTTCCAACTTCCAAGACTAAAATTCCATTTCTTACTTTCCCAAACGAATTGTTTGCATTCAAGGTTTGAACTGAACTTTTAGGGATTATATTAAAATTCTCTAGGAAATTTATACGGAATTTGGCTTACAACTGATTAAAATCTAATACACACCCACACCACACACACATATATACAGGTGTTTGGACAGATGTAGATTGCTATTCTCCACTGGCCTTGATCAGCGTGTCAGATGTTGGAATATTGAACAAGGGAAGCGTGCTCATCTAGTTATCAGTGTGCCAGAGCCTGAGGCATTATGACCAAGGTTGCAAAAATCGCGCTTAGGCGCTAGGCGATGGCCGACCGTTTAGAAATTTGACAACTCTAGACGCCAGCCTAGGTGCTCTAGGCGTTGAGTAGAGTCGCGGTCATCTAGGCACTCTAGGCGGGATTTTAAATTTTTTTTTTTTTTTTGAATGCTACTAGCTCTATTACATTGTAGTATCTGTTCATATACTTTCTCAACCTACTGAAGAGCCAATAACGCCTCCACTGAGGCTCGAACTTACAACCTTCCAAATGGAAGTCCAACCCGGGTACCATTAAACCACATAGTCCTGGTGGCGGGATTTTAAATAATTTTCAATTTTTTTTTAAATTAAAAAAAAAAAAAATATATATATATATATATATATATATATATATATATATATATATATATATATATATATATATATATATATATATATATAGGCGTCTAGCGATTTTTTCAACCTTGCTTATGACAGGTAACCAAATTGAATGATCATTGATGGATCTCAGTGCTGCACTATGCTTACTTTCCACGAGCAAGCACGCTTGGTGATAGGTAGGTGAACATTAAACATTTAACCACATTTCAAGCAGGGCTGAACTCGGCTAACCTGGGTGACAGACTATTTTTGTGCACATTTGCTAACTCAATCCTATGTATTTCGTGTATAAACCAAATAGGCAATTTTCTAGACGTATATTGATGCATTTGTTTATGATCGTCATCGTCGTCGTCATCATCATCATTATTATTACTACCGCGCGCCGTAAATTCAAAAGGTTTCCCTTTCCACACCCGCTCATTTCTGCTGACCCATAAACCCCAACAAATCATCACAAAAATACATTTGAGCTCGTGTTTTAGCGTAGATAATGTAGCAAAAAACCACTCATCAATGTTACCTTGGGGCACATAGCAGTAACAATGGGGCACTCCATGAATAAATGTCTGGCAGTTTCCCCCTCATTGCCGCACATGTGACATTGCAAGCTACAAACAACGTGTCTCCTATTCAGTGCCTCGCATGTGGGTAAAATTGACATAGCAAGTTGCCAACAAAAGAGCTTCACCTTTGGGGGTACCTGCAGATTCCAAATCAGCCACCATGGTCTATCCTCCTGATACTCACCCACCAACTTCCTATAACAAGATTTCACAATATACACTCCCTTACGATCCCCCATCCATACCCAAGCATCAGAAGGTTTGCGCTGACTTACCGGGATATTGAGAATTGTCGTTGCATCCCGCGCATTGAACACATCCCTAACACACTCTTCATCCCAGTTGGTGCCATGTAAATTTAGCAGAGATGAGACAGGGGCACCTCTAATCGAATCATGGAGCTCAGACATGACAAAGGGATTCTCAGCACATGGGAGCCAAGGGTCACGCCCAATGATGGTGTTGCATCCATCCCCAATGCTCCTATGACAGCCTGACTTGATCGCATTCATAGCCTCAACTATTCCCCGCTAAACAGAAGATGGGTTGCTACATGCAGTGGCCTCAAACAAGGAACACCCGGGAAAGTACTAGCTCTTAAAAACCTTCGTAACGTGCGACTCAGGCCTGGTTAGCAGGCGCCACACCTGCTTGCCCAAAAGAGCCAAATTCATCTCTCTAATACGTCTGAAGCACAGCCCCCCTTCTCCTTCGGTGCACATAGACCACTCCATGTCCTCCACCTTAAGCCCTTTCCCTTAGTACCAGCACCCGACCACCAATACTTATTAAGTATTGTTTCGATGTCCGTACATAACCCAATAGGCAGCAAGAAGATCATCATGGCATAGCAAGGCATTGCCTGGAGTACGTTTTTAAGCAGCGCCTCACGACCTGCCCGTGAAAGTAATTTTGAGTTCCAACTACGTACCCAGGCCAAAAATTTATCCTTGAGAAAGCCCATAATCGTTTTCTTGTTCCGTCCTACCAATGATGGCAGACCAAGATATTTACCCGATGTATCTCCATGTTGCACTCCAAGGGTATTTACCTCCTCCCGTCTACACTGCTAAGCCACATTCGTGCTAAAACACACAAGGAATTTATCATAGTTAACCCGTTGACCCGAGACTACTGCATACTTGTCAAGGACCTCCTTCATATAATCATATGTATACTTTCCACATTATTAGCACGAAGGAAAAGAAAACAATCGTCGACGAATAACAGGTGTGAAATAGGTGGAGCACCCCGTGCTATAGACACTCCATGCAAAAGTCCTCACCTCATTCTATCGTCAATAAGAGCACTCAAGCCTTCCGCTATTCAAAGACATATATGTCATTTCCTTCCTTTTTTGTTTTCATTCTAAGGATGAATTCATTGAATTGCAATTCACAGGGGACCTATGAATTACAATTCAATGAATTGAGGGAAGATTCTATCAAATAAACCCTAATAACAAGCTCTAGACATGCCTAAATGCAAGATCACACATATAATCAATCACAACATCAAGATCTTCAAGATTATCAAATAAACACAACATAAACCCTAGGCAAAGCTCTATCAAGACTCAATCACAGAATCACACATACGATTATCAAAGGAGGCAATGAATAAGATATAGCAAGGAAAATATGTTTTGTAAGACATGAGTTACCTCTTAGCCTTAATCAATTTTTCCTTAGCGGTGATACTTTTACACTACTCGTATAATCAAATAAATGTACACTTTCAAATAGAGTAAATACCAATTTTGACTCCATGAGTATTAGCAAAATGACGATTTTTGTCAACATGCATGTTTAATTCGTATCAATTTTCATCAACGACTATTGTTTTAGTATCAATTTTCATCCAAGGCTATTAATTTAGTGTCAAAGTTCATCACATTGGTCACCTCTCTATTTAAGACATGTCGAAATCTAAACATTTTAATGGCATTTTCAATCTTTTCAACTTAAGATTCTAATTTGAACATGAATAAAGTAATTTAAGCCCTAAGATCGATCAAATTCGCAATTTCCTCCTCATCCTACCTTAATTTGAGGAGGAGGAGAACTGCGAATTATGATAGATTTTAGGGCTTAAATCCTTTTATTCATGCTCAAATTGAGATCTTAATTTGAAAAAGATAAAAATGCCCTTAAAATATTTAGATTTCAACATGTCTTAAACCAATGAGTGATTAACGTGATGAATTTTGACACTAAAATAATAGTCGTGAATAAAAATTGGTACTAAAAAATTAGTTATAGATAAAAATTAGTATAGATTAAACATGTGAACCAAAACTATTATTTTACTAATACTCATAGAACCAAAATTAGTATATAGTCCTTTCAAATATTAGAATTATTTATAATTTTATCTTTAATTTTATTATCTAAATACGTAATTTACTACTTACTAGTTGGTTTTAAAATGAGAAATAATTGAAGTGATAGAGATAATCTACTAAGTCAAATTTGGTAGCCTAGTAGCGAGATTGATTAAACCAATCGGCGATCGGGCAATCCCTAATACTGAGCCGACGTGAACCGGCCTGATGTCGTCGTCATCATCATCATTATATAAAACGCCCTTCACGTGAACCGGCCGTAATCGAAACCCTAATCTTATCCTTCGTTTTACATCAGAAGAGCTTCTGAACATGTACGGACATCCATCGCGCGGAGGTGGCCGTAAGCCGTTCTCAAGAGGTGGAGGTGGCCGTAAGCCGCTCTCAAGAGGCGCCAACTTTAATTCAAACCCTAATCTTTACTATTCGGAGAGTCCCAATGTCTTCCCTGATCCTTTCCAAAACCCTTATTTACAATACCAGAATCCATTCCCAAACCCTAACTTTCAGTTCCAGGCTCAGCGTTCGAGGCCGGCGGCAGTAGTCGAGAGGATCGATAAGGCAGTGCTGGAGGCTCACCGCGAAATTCTCGCAACTGGAGAGGTTGTGTCAGCATGGAAAGTGTCTCAAGCAGCTCTGGTAATACTTCAGGCTGACACCTGGGATTCTTTGGGTTTCCAAATGCAGCAAGTGCCCTATCTTCACCGCCTTATGCTCGCCGAAGGAAAGGTACGAATAAATTTTGTTGTATCAATTTACTGTGTTCCCCAAGTTATGCATTTAATGAAAACTATAAATTAACTCATGAATTCAATGAAAAGTGTACCAGGGAGTATAATTTATGAGCTTTCTTGTTGAGCTACTTCTGTTCTTTTTCCAACTATTGTATTGTAAGGAACAATCAGTATTGGTGACAAAAATTCCAGCTAATAATTATATCCACACATGTTCATGGAACTTAAATATCATACTGATAACTAAGGTGAGCAAACGGTACTGAAAAACCGATCATGGTTTTTGACCCCGTAACTAATCGACCGAAGGTGGTTCTAAACGTCGGTTACCAAAAAACCGATCTCAAACAAAATAAGCAAGACTTCAAGTAAATTAAACACTTAATACACATACATGATACATTAATACATATTGTTTACTGCTAATTCCCAAAGTCAAAATCCAAAATCAAATCCAAAATATCAAATGATACATGATACTAGCACACTGCCAATGCCCAAAGTCACAGACACAAATAGAAACCGTCCAACACCAAGTCACCAACAATCAACAAATATTAATATACTAATACAAAATGGTTTACTACCAAGTGTAAACAAAGTAATAAAATCATTTCAAAGTGATGAAGAATTAAACATTTAGTATATTTCAAAGTGACCGGCGTGGTGGACTGGCGGCATCCGGGCGGTCTAGCGACGGCAGTGAGGCTGAGTAGCTTGAACCTTGAGGATAGGTGAGACTGTGAGAGTGTGAGACCGTGAGTGGAACCGTGGAAGGACTGGAAGACTGAAGACGACTTACGAGTTACGGCTAGACGAGTGTGGTTTATGGAGCCTGTAGTAGTTGTGGTCTTGTTGCTCTCGTGGAGATTGGAGAAGATGGGAAGCGTCGAAGGCCAAAGCGGAGAGTCGGAGGTCACTTGTCCTCGACTAGAACGGCGGAAGGATTAAGGATTTAGGGGCATTTGGTGATTAGGATTTGGGATTTTACATTTTAGGAATAAGTTATTAGTTCTCAATGTATGGGCTTAATGGCATTTGGGCTTTTGGGCTTATAGGCCATTGTTCAGGTGGTCACCCCTCCCCATGAATCCTGTGGACAGATCTGGGCCATTGAATGCTTGAGATCAATGACTTAGATTTTGCCAACTGTTCAACTGTGCACTTCACTTGCACAGGTCACGATGCACAATTGGCGAAATTTAAACCATTGATCTCAAGCATTCAATGGTCCAGATCTATCCACACGGACTCATGGGGAGAGATGGACTCACCTGAACAATGGCCTATATATATATATATATATATATTTGCCCGTAATTGCCTTTCGGTCACCGACCAATAACCGAGTCTTAATAATCGCAAAATAATCGAAAAACCAATTTTTTTTAAGGTTAATAACCATAATCGCTTTTTTGGTCGGTTCGGTTAGCGGTTAACCGATATTTTGCTCACCCCTAATAACTATCATTTGAGCTCTATCCTGCACATAATCAGGGTGGGTGAGATTCTTGCAACTTTGGACATGCGAGTGAGCAGGAGTAGGGGTGAATGAATCCATCTAGCAGCTTGCAAAAAGCTAGTGTCAGAACCTTTTTGAGGGAGTACATGATAACATGTATATGAAAGTGCTATCTTACATTATATGTGAAGCACATTCAACTCCTTAGGTATAGCCTTACAGGAATATTAGGTTAAAATGCTTGAATGTACATACTTTATAGGCACCCTAAGCAGTGGTGGATCTTGGATTTTGAATGAGTGGCAACACATTTAGTAAATTAGTAATATAATAATATCATTAAAAGATTGAGTGATGGCAAACTAATGAAACTATTATGAATTATAGGTACATAACATAATTTTTTTTTTTAAAAAAGTTATTTTCAAAATTTAGCAGGGGCAAGTGCCTCATCAAGCTTCTTATAAATCCGCCCAAACCCTGTTGCTCTATTGTTTTTTTTGATGGGGGTTTATAGAGAGGATTTATTAGCTTACTTGTTTATGGATTTGGAAACAATGACAATATAGAGTCTAAATGTAATGTAATTCAAAGTAGAGAGAATTGAAAGGTAATTTTTTAACATTTGGCGCATCATGTGGCATTGTACGTTGTGACACTTGGCATCTTTCCCTACTCTAAAAACTTGGATATATTCATTTGAATGACATGTATATGAATATATAACTTTTACTTTGAATTCTAATATATGTGAGATTTCAATATCCGATATTAAAAATATTCGAACTAATAATCTATTGAGTTCAATCAAAATCTAAAACATTATATATAGGGTTTAATTCTTAATTTTGATAATGTAAATAATGTCCAACTTTAAAGTGTAAGCAAATAAGTTATGTTTAAATAAGTAAAGTACGTAGAAAAGATAGAAGATAGTGATAAGTAAAATAAGATGATAATGAATGTAATCACAGTAATGTGGTTATAGTGACATATAACTAAATAGATGATATATGATTCTATTTTCCATTTAGAAAACGGTTTTTAAGAGTGTTCCAGTTTTCCATAAATTTCCGGAAATTATTTTCAGTTTTCAAAATGGAAAACTGTGCTAGTAAACATGTTTTATGTTTTCTATTTTCCAGTTTCCAGAAATTTTCAGAAATTTCCAGTTAGTAAACGGCCCCATAGTGTCCTTGTTTTTCTACATTCATATGCAATTAGGAATCTTGTAGACCTCTCAAAAATTTTCTTATATCTTTTATCTTTTTGTAGATTAATGACTTCATTCACTGCTTTGTTGGTGCTCGAAGAATTACAACATTGCATGATTTGGAAATTGCAATATGCAATACAGAGGGGGTTGAGCGGTTTGAAGATCTGGAATTGGGGCCTTTGGTGAAACACCCATTAATTATACATTATTTTTCTCTCAGTGCTAATTCCACAGAAGTGTGCAGAATAACCAGTGAAGAGATAGTGTCATTGCTTTCTGAGTTCATGGATATCGATAAACAAAGATATGTAGAAATTGAGGAGCTTTTGGATTTTATTGCAAAGAAGAAATCTGTAACAGCCAAGGAAAAGCTTGGTGTGCGAATTCAGAGCTTGGGGTAGGTGCTCCTTTTCTTTAAAATGAATGTTTGGTGATTTATATTGGTAGAAGAACAGATGCTATTGTGGTTTAAGTTTCTTTGTTATAGTGAGACAGCTAGTGTTTTTGAATTATATATACCCTCATGTGAAAATTTCATCTTTTATGTGACCTAGGGAGCCCTAGAGTAGACTTCTCTTTCTTGGCTTGTTTCCTGGTTCTGAAGTTAAGGAATATTTTTAACTGTATTTTTGAGTGCTTCACTTAATTACATGATTATACGCCATTAACTGCCTTACCCCTACACCGTCATAGACTTGCCATCGCTGATTGACCTTTCTTTCTTCCTGCTTTCTTCTTGGCCGATTGGCCTTTCTTTTTCTTTTTGATTTCACTCTTCTTTATTTCTTAGTGGCTCCTCATTATCTTATTCATTGCTTAGAATACTCCAAATTATGCACTATATATATATAGGTCTAAAGAACATTGGAATGATGCACAATAAATACTAGACTTCTAACTACTCTAGGAAAAACCGTTCATCTCCTCAAGACAACTTGAAGTAAATAGGGCTGCAAAAAGGCTGCTGCCCAAGACAAGATATTTTCAATATACAATAAATACTAGACATCTCACTATTCTAGGAAAAACTATTCATCTAATAAAGACAATTTGAAGTAAATAGGGTTGCAAAAAGGCTGCCCAAGACAATTCAATATATATATATATACTTATTTATTTATTTAATACTCATCGCCTAGGAAGCGGTCGCCTAGTTGACTAGGCAGTCGGTGGCATCTCGCCCAGAAAGTCCGCCTTGATAACCCATGCCATAGATGGAATAACAAAATTTAATTTTTCTAGGTTAACAATTGAATATTGCTAATGTGTTTGCTGTTTTCTTAAGGGCGTGCCAATTTTAAGCAGTCAAGTTGTTTTCCCCATTGTCATAGCAGCTGTACAATGTGTAATTTAGTTTTATGTTTCTAGTAAAGAAGTTTGATCATTTTCTGTTGACTAAGTTCAATTTAAAGACTAATTGTTCATAATTATGCTTATCTGGAATCAATTATACTTGCGCAAATTTGTTCCTCAAATATTAAATGCTTGTTTCTCTCTCTGATTTTATTTCAGGATGCATATCACATTAATCCGTCAAGCATGGCAGTCTGAAATTACCACCGTTGCTGAAGAAATTACACGGCTGGGATGTAGCAGTAGTAAACAATCCAAAAGAAAGAGAAAGTATATCAATGTTCAGACTCCTGTTACTTCACTTCAAAAAGTGCACAAAACACAAAGGATCCAAACACCATTCCGTAGGAGAGAACAGACAAAATTTTTTGGCAAAAAGAGTAAACAATCCAAAGGAACGAGAAAGTATAGCAATATTCAGATTCTTGTTACTTCACTTCAAAAAGTGCGCAATACAAAAAAGATCCAAACGCCATTCAATAGGAAAGAGCAGACAAAAATTTCTGGCGAAAAAAATAAAAGGCTAGTGAAGCAAGAATATTTATTTCATAGCTCATATAGCAGTGATTCAATGAAGATGTTCATTACCACTTGGAAGGAGACATGTCAAGCAAACAATGTGGATGAGGTATGGAAGACACTCATTTCATTATGTTATAAGAAGATACAAAGCCCTTATACCTTTTCTCTTTCATAAGCTTTCTGTGTCAAATCTTGGGTTGTCAGTTGTTGGCTGGCTATAGGCTTCTACCTGAAGCAGGCATAAGAGAATATTTATTCTAAGATGATGGTGGTTGAGGTGACCATGTAGCTTCTGTGTAGTAGTACATGTTGTCATGTTGATGTGTTAATCCACTCCAGAAGTCTATTGAAGCTGTGTGCTGATTTTACGATTTTCTACAAGTAAAAGTTAAGGGACGATCCTCTACAAATCTACAATCAGGTCCTATTGTCCTATGCATCAGATATATTCCATTAGATGCATGATATCAATTTGGGTGGCGGGTGCCGTGGGGATTGGGGCAATAAGTGATTAGGTGCAATTGTGTTTCTGCTTCTTCTATTCCCTTGTTTTCATTTTCTGATTTAGGGGTGTGCTTGTGAAGTTTGCATGCAAGTTGCTTTCCAAATAACTAAAGAATCGTGTATTTATTTCTCCTGTCTCCACAATGTACAAGTCTCTGCTATATATAATCACTATGTTGTTATTGGTCTACTTCTCTTTTAAGATGTTAGTTATTCTATAAAATGCTGATTCTGGATTTCTGGTTTATTATTGTTGTTTTAGGTGTTTGAGAAGATGATTCAAGTTTATAGGAATAGGAAGAGAGCAACAGCAAGAAAATTGTTTTCCGCATACCCATTAGTTGACTTGCTTCATATTGCTGTAAGTTTATTGGAAGCATTAACTTTCACGTTATGAATTAAGGATACTAAATAATGATTCAGAGACCTCAGAAAGTAAATTCATATGCACTGGAGTATATCTTCTTCTTCTTCTTTTTTGCTTCAAGATCAAATCTACATTATAACCAGGAAACTTAATTTTTTGTAGATATAAGTTTGAAGACCTAATGTGTCCTTATGGTTGTATAATAATTTTAGTTAACAAGAGTAACAAAATTTTTGTAAAACAATGTTAAAAGCTAAAATTTTGTTGGACTAATTTGCAGGATAATGCATATAAACGTCGGTTGTTTATTTATTTTTAATTTTTCCTTCTTCTCAAGTTTAAGGTTTATGCTGGTTTAGTTAAGGGTAAATTATTGGCACATTGCTTGAACAATAGGGAAAGAAGGTCTACTTGAACAAATTTCATTAATTGAAAATCTTTATCTCACATTCATACTGTACGTAATATAGTTTTGTCCTCAAATTAATGAATCTGAAAGATGGTAAACCAAAAGAGAGGAGAAACATGGGGACTCACCCCTGAATTAAAATAACAAACTTCTTGGGGACTCACATCAGTTTTATCCTTATTCATATGATTCGGTGATTGATACTATCCTTTCATAACTTCAGATCCTTCTAGGGGTGTTGTTTTGTGTTGTATTAACATCTTCATGTGTTTAGGCAGTTGACTCATTGAAGTTCTTGTGTTTGTGATAGGTAACATCTATTAAAAATGGAATGTGGGATAGCATGTGTGATACCTTCCAAAGTTTCAGCCAACTTGATGTAGCAAACACAGTTTCTGAGAATTGTTCTGATTTTGTATCCAATCATGTTGAATCACCTAGAAGGAAAGCATCCAGTCTTTCTCAAAAACTTTTGGCACCCGAACATGGTGAGTCAAACTGTGCTGACCTTTTATTCTCCTTTGCGTTTTTTGTATTTCTTTGAGTTCTTACATTAAATGATTGTTTGGCCTAACTTCTTTTGGAGCTTATGTACTCTAAAAAGCAGTTGGGCCAAACATTAAAAATGTAGATCCATAGAAAAGCTTTTAATGCCATATAAAGAGGAAAAGCCTTGTTTCCAAGAGCTCCAAAGTAAGTTGAGGCTTTTAAAGTTTTTTGGGCTGAAAAAGATTGAGAAAGTATAGAATAGATATTACCTTGTAAAGAATCATTAGTGTTTCATTTTTTTTTTTGGAGAAGCTCAAGCTGAGCCAAGCAAGCACTAATGAAGTTTCAAAATCTGACAGTAATTGGAGCATAATTTCATTCAGAGCAAATTGATACTCGGTTGATTGTTTTATAGGGTTACATTTATCCTTTCTTGTGCTTAACTTGACAAAATAGTTGTTATGCTTATTTATTTTCCAACATTCTGGTGAACTTTTGTTTGATCACAGAAAAAATTTTAATTTGATGCTCTAAAACCTCTCAAACTCCTATAAACTATTTTGATTATTATTAATTTATTATTATTATTATTATTATTATTATTATTTATTATTTATTATTATTATTATTATTATTATTATTATTTTTGGGGATGCTTAACTCTTCTTCTTCTTGTGCTTAACTTGACAAAATAGTTGTTATGCTTATTTATTTTCCAACATTCTGGTGAACTTTTGTTTGATCAAAGTAAAATTTTTAATTTGATGCTCTAAAACCTCTCAAACTCCTATAAACTATTTTGATTATTATTATTATTATTATTATTATTATTATTATTATTTTTGGGGATGCTTAACTATATTATTTATTTTCCCAGATTCTGGTGAACTTGTGTCAGATATTGCCATTGCTAATATTACACCTGGTATGAATATGAGTGTTGATTTTTGTCATGTTGTGTCTACATCAGAAGATACAGTTTCAGCTTCAAATTTGTCTAATTTGAGAGATGGAGGTCAGCTATCTCTCAGCCCGGCAAATGCTCAACAGGCACTTTTAACAGGTAGACTAGGAGAACTTGTTGCTTTCAAATACTTCGTCGGAAAAGTTGGTAATGCATTTGTGAAGTGGGTGAACGAAACTTTTGAGACTGGGCTGCCTTATGACCTTGTAGTGGGAGATCAGGAATACATAGAAGTGAAGGCAACCAAAATTGTCAGAAAGAATTGGTTCAAACTATCTGCAAGGGAGTGGCAATTTGCCGTTGAAAAGGGTGAACTTTACAGCATTGCACATGTCATGTTATCAGCTACTGATACAGCTACAGTCACAGTATACAAAAATCCTGCCAAACTCATCCAGCTTGGTAAGCTGCAGTTAGACATTACAATCTCTTTTTCAAACTGATGGCAAAGCATGGGATGAAGAAATCTTTTGATCAGCGAGATAGGGAACTGATTATGAATATCCCCCTGTTTAAGTAATGAAACTGAGGACATGCTCATTTGGAATGAAGTGGAAAAGGCGGAGTTTTCTGTCAAGAGTTGCTACCGTAAGATCACAAGGGAAGCTCAAATAATGGAAGGAACAACTTGGACAAGGATGTGGGCTTTCAATATTCCTCCAAAAGTGAAGATAATTTTCTGGCAGACTTGTGTGAATTGCCTGCGTACCACAGATGCACTTCAGGTAAAACAGGTACAATGTTCTATTTTGTGCAACCGAGAAACAACGAAGTCTGGAACCAAAAGTGCTCATCACCGTATTGTATCCTGCGAGAGGCCAATTTTTTTTTTACATGGCTGGGGGGTTGTTAGACGACTTGGAGACCAAAGGAAGAATAGAGATATAATGCCTTGGTGACTAAATGGGAAAAACCTCCTGATGGTTGGATTAAGTGAATGTCGATGCAGAAATTGACACGGGAGGTAGAAAGATGGGTTTTGGATGTGTTTTGCGCGACCAAAATGGCGGCTTTGTTATGGCGAAGGAAGTTCCATGGAAAGGAGTGTTCAATCCAAAGGTGGCAGAAGCTATAGACATTATGGAAGCTTCTTCATGGATGGAGAATTCTGGTCTGGACAACATACTAGTGAAACAGACGCCATGGAGGCGCTGAATTGTCTCAAAACTGGCAGAATGAATACCTACCTCTTTTGATCTGATAATTAAGGATGCATTAGAACTAGCAAAACAGTTTACAAACATTTGCTTTTTACATGTTAAGCGATCTGTGAATATGTTGGCTCATTTACTAGCTAGACTGAATTCATTAGAGATACATAAAGCAGTACACTGAATTACAGTATTAAATCTTAGTTATTCGAAGCTTAATTACATTTGTTGTTAATATTTATTTCCCTCATGTTACCAGTTTTTGATAATTTAGGTTAATATCTGTCTTCCACATCATATCCAATCAATACTTAGTGGAAGTTTGGAGCAATAGCTTAAGTTTATTCTATAATATAACAACTGTAAATATAACCGGACTTGAATATTTTACTTTGAGTTCGATAATCTTTCCTCAAAGACTGACCTAATGTTGTATTTCCTAAAAAATTACTCTTTAATATTCATCTGCGTCATTGTGTGTTATTTTTATTAATTTGTAATGTAATTAATAAATTTACAGGTAATTCCTGTAGCTGTTGAGTTTGATGATAGTTGGTGTTGGAGGGGAGATGTCAGCGGTTGCTACACTGAAACATGGTTACATGAATTGGAGCGTTATGTGCATGGTGCATACAGATGCAAAAACGACGTCGTTTTATTAAAAACGCGCATCTCACTTTAAAAAAAAAATCAATTTCGATTCCCCTCAACAACATTATGTCGTTCATTCATTCTGGAATTTTAGTTCATTGATTATGAATATTTAGACGTGAATCAAAACTGATTTTTTTTCATTCATGCTGGATATTTAGTTCATCCATTATGGATTTTTAGTTCATAGATTCTGAAATTTTAGTTCATAGATTCTGGAATTTTAGTTCATCGATTACGGAATTTTAGTTCATTGATTCTGGATATATAGTTCAAATTATGCACAATATAATGTTGTTGCTGGGAATCAAAACTGGTTTTTTTTTTTTTTTTTTTTAAGTGAGACGCGCGTTTTTAATAAAACGACTTCGTTTTTGCATCCGTATGCACCATGCATGGTGCATACGGATGCACAACATAATTTGCCACATGAATTAGATACGGCTCCTTGGGCTGTTTGGAACTTTCTGTGGCGCTGTTTGCATGTAATTTTGCCAGTAATTATCGAGTAGGAGAATGGAGGTTGATGTCAATTGTCGTCTGTGTAGGTGTCATCTGCTATGTTAAATGGTAAAAATAATAATCTAAAATTAAATTTAAAATTATCACAAAAAACAAGTGACCCCTTGTTTGCATGTAATTGTGCCAGTAATTATCGAGTAGGAGAATGGAGGTTGATATTAATTGTCATCTATGTAGGTCATCTGGGATGTTAAATGGTAAAATCAATCATATAAAATTAAATTTAAAATTATCAAAAAAACAAGTGATTCCTGGTAGAATTAATTCTAAATATTATGTTGATATGAAAAGATAAAAATAAAAATGAGAAGCAACATTGGACATGTCCCAAGCAGCCATGCCCACTATAGGGACTCCACTTATATCAATCGGAGATATTTTTTCGTCGCTACATGCCATTAAGCATAGTCATCATAATTGAACCCAAATTTCATTGGCACATGAAAAGAAATATTGTCTCAATAAAACCAATCAAAAACCTATCACATCATTAAAGAGAGAGAAAAAAAAAAGAATTGAATAAAAAGAGTAAATGTAGAATTACTCTTATCACTATAATGCTAATTGAGTTTAAATCTTTAAATCAAATTTTAATCATATGCAAACAGATATTTATCATATCAAATTTAGGATAAATATATTCATATAGGGATACATTAACTTTTCATTCCCGAACAAAATTTTGAATTCTATCATAAACATTATACACTAGATAATTATATGAACCTCAATTTTTTTTTTTATTATATAATATTAACTATGCAAATATTATTCAATTAAAACTCAACCCTAGTGTGATATGTTCTGATTCACTAACATTTTAATTAATATATACTTAAAAATCTAACAACCCCATAATCACAATGCTTCATCTTAAACGATTTTTTTTTTTTTTTAAATTGTTGAAAGTAACATTATCATTATATATAGCAACAGGTGTTTCTCCATCATCAGTCTGTGCATGATTGACAGTTTAGGTGAACAGACAGAATTTAATACTGATTTAAGTGAGGTAAGAGCATCCACATTGGTTGGGGAGAATGGGGAGATAATGTAAGAGCGATTAGGAAAGAGAGTGTGGGAGAGGAGAGAAAAAAAAAAAGAAAAAACAAAACAAAAAAAAAAATTAAAAAAAAAAAAAGTAATCAGACGCGTATGGCGCGCCTGACGCGCCTCTGGGCGCGTGCAGTGCACGCGCCCGGCTTTTGCCCAAGGCTGTGCGCGAACACGCGCACAGCCTTACTTCTTCTTCTTTCTCTTTTTTTTTTTTTTTTTTTTTTTTTTTTTTTTTGACAATATCCTCACATTTGCAGGAGGATTCTTTTTCAATTATCCACCCTCCACACTAGTTATTATCTCATGTAGGGAAAAATTAATGCTGAAATCTCCCCACAATGTACACAAGTGTGGATGCTCTAAGCTGTGTTCACCAAACATTTATGTTCACACTAGTGTTCCCCCACCAAAAGATCCATCATGGATCCGAGTACGTACGTTTATCATCCATGGTTTCACAGTTATCAAGTAACAAGTAGTTTTCTAAATAATTTTCAGTTCAAAGAAAATGTGACAAATTCCTTCTCTTTCTATATTGTTCATTGGTCCAATTTATAAAATACAGGAAGATATGTATTTATCTGAAAGAGATATATTTATAAGAGTATAAGAATTAGCTTTAGTGATATCATAAATGATAAAAGGTAAATTTACATTATAGGATGAATAAATTTCAGTGTAACTAGATTACAAAGTTGTAACAAGTCCTAATCGAATACTAAATTTTTAATATTCAGAATGTTAAAAACTATAATACCAAATTAGAATTAACTCTTATGCTTAGCTTTGTGTTGGAGGATGACACAAGTGTTAGAAAAAGTGCTAATAAAAAAAATTATTTCAAGTTGCATATCTTTATGCATTTATTACATCATATTTTAATTTTTTGAGTACTATTCTCTATTACAATATAGTATTTCTCCATACATTTTAAACCTCAAATATCTCATTTAAGAGAGCCACAATTATGTGGCTAGATCTTTAGCAATATCATATTTTAATTAGTACAATAAAAATACAAAATTTTTATGTGCAATCGCAAATTTCCTATGACATATGTCCAAAAACCTCTTTTCTCTAACTAATACATTCCTACTTTCCAATTACTTTAGAGAATAAAAGCTTTATATACAAAATGCCAGTCATACTCCAACAGAACACAATAAAAAGGGAACACAAAAAGACAAAAGTGAAATAAAATGATCCATTCAACAAAAATTAGTATTCTGAAATTTGAAGAATATATATATTTCTATGACACTAATGTACAGTCATATATATTATATATATAATTGTATTAACTGTTATTCAAAATTATTACAAAAAAATATGATTACAACGCCATACAAATAAATTACAGAAAGTACCTCCAGTAGTCCAGCCCCAGCCGCAGCTACACGTGCAACACTCGTACTGGACAGTTACAGCCACATCGTCGTCATCATCGCTGAAATTTCGGAAACCGGCCAGAATTTGGCGCCGATTTTTTCCGGCGGGATTAGGTGCTAGAGTATTCTAGGGACGCTACTGGTATGTCACACAGAGAGAAAAAGAGAGGAGGAATTAGATAGTGCAGCCGCAGCAGAGGAAGAAGAAGCAGAGCATGGAGACGAGAGCGACGGACTCGACGGCGGAGATGAGCGACCAGATCACGGTTTCGACGAAGGAGAGGGAGAAATCTAGGTAGTTCACGGCCCACCACCAAGTGCGCGGCGAGAAGCTGAGGCTGATCCGGAACGCGGAGGGTGAACCCTCGCCGTCGCGGTCGCGGTCGCTCCAGCTCTGCGTGAAGAACGAGGAGAAGAGACTCGGCCACCGCATGAGCGACGTCGGCAGAGAGAAGCTCGTGTTTATCCACCGGAAAGCTGACGTGGACGACCAGCTCCGGGGCGTCTCAGCCATACTCGGTTCTATCCGATTCATCCGTGTCTAAATTTTCTATGTGAATTGTGATTGTTACGATACTATAGGGGCTATTATAAGTAAGATATTTGCAATAATTCATTAAATATTATTTTATTCCTCTACGAGAATTAGATGCCCCACTTGGATAACGTAAAAAAGATAAAATATATTCTCTATGAGAAATTGAGAATATACCATTTTTATATCTTAATTTTATACTCCATGGTTACATTCTAACATACTACCTCCCTCCCATTATGTATCTGGTTTGATTAATCAGACTTGACTGAAGTTATTTTTAATTTAATTTTTCATAATATTAAATTTGATATTAGTATACAAAATTTATATATATTAAGAAATTAAATTAAAAGTACTATTAAACACAAAAAATTAAAAATAAGTAAAGAATAATAAATAATATAAACAAAGAAAAAGAATTAGTTTGCCCATGAATACTAAGTAGGACAGATAAAATGAGACATATAGAGTATTTATTATTATTTATAAGTAAAAAAATATATTTAATTTTCATTTGCTATTTATGAATAGACTAATCATATCCCAAATTGAAAAGATATGAGAAGAGTGGATACAATTTTTAAATAAAAAAATAGTACCAAAAAAATATTTAAATAAAAAATTAGTCTAATCAAATAATTAATGACATGTCAAAATATAAAAACTAAAAGGTAATATTAAAATAGAAAATGCTATGTGTACTCACATTTTGTACTTCCAACTTGTATTCCACACACAAAAACTTGATGTAGACACTTGTATTAGGACCCACATAAAAAAAAAAAAAAAAGTAGCTTATCAGAATCTGTCACATCAGGGACTAAAATTTAGGAAGTAAGATTAGGGAGAACATGTAGTAGAACTCGATATATCCCCGCTCGCCACACCCGCATTCCCAACCCACTCCCCGGCGCAGGTAATGAAATTCCTACCCCATACCCGCCTCTGCGAGGATTTTGCGCGTGCGGGTAATACCCAACTCGCAACTCTAATTATTAGTATTACACTTAAATCTAATAAAAATTTTATACTACAATTCTAATTATTACATGATTTTTTTTTATAAGTTTGAACATAACTCTAAAATTTAATAAGAACCATCAAGGACCTTGAGGTCCAATGGTATCTGATTGATCCCCTAAGTGGGGGGTGATAGGTTTAAGTCTCAAGGGAGGTGATTAGTAGTTTGAATTTCTCCCATTCCCAGGTTTATACTCATTATGTTATTTGTGTTGTTCCTATTCAATTTTTTATATACAAAAAATTAAGAAGTTTAATTCATTATGCATTTTTAATTATAAAATATACATAAACTTATATAATAAATAAATATTAATAACAATGCGGTTATACAAAATTCTCCCATACCCGCACCCATTACCTAAATTGTGCGGGTATTTTAAAACCCGTAGGGCGGGGTGCGGAGAACCAATGGGTGCGGGTAGAATTGTCATCCCTACTCCTCTATATATTTTAAATTTTGGTTTATTGTTCCAATAGGAGTGACAAAGTGAATGAAACATGACTCTCGTATCATGTCATGAGTTCAATTTTTGAAAATATTTTATTGATTGAGCCTACTACACGGGATATTCCTAGTGTGATTTAGTTCTTCTATTTGATTTACAGGCTATTATATAGGAGCGAAACTTAATCAGTACACACCTTTGAACAATAATTATGGATTTCCTTTTAATCCAAAAAAAAAATATCCTACTTAATTTGATACATCTAATAAAGTCGCAATTATAGTAAATTCAATTCAATAATATTTACAATTTCATTATAGAAAATACATATTTTTTATTTTTGAAATACTCATATGATTCTTTACAAGCTAAGGTAATATCTGTTCTATACTTTCTCAAATATTTTCAGCATAAAAAATTCGGAGTTCAAACCTATAACCATCCATTTGAATGAGTAACCAGGATGTCATCATACTACATGGTAGTTGGCATAGAAAATACATATTCAATTTGGAATTAAAAAAACGATTACATTTATGATTTTTAAACTAATCAATTCCTAATATGATCTGTTACGAAATCAAACACAAAAATTATAAGTTGACATGTTTTTTAACACATTAATATTTTAATTTTGATTTTTAGATTTTAGTTAATACTTTATAATATTATGATATGTCATGAACTGAATTTTTGTTTTTGTTTTTTTTTTGTTTTTTGTTTTGTTTTGTTTTGTTTTGTTTTTTTTTTTTTTTGTTTTGTTTTGTTTTTGTTAGATTAAATTGTAGATTTTTATTTAATTTTTTTAAAGTTTTTTTGTTAATATTAAAAAGTTTAACGGGTTTAAACAAATTATTATGTTATATTAGCCTAAAACGTCTTAAATGTGTATATCGTATCAACTCGTTAAAATATCAATGTCCATCTTCGTATTTGTGTTAATAATTATAACCCATGCATTAATTTTAATGAGTTATATTTGTATTTAGCTTTATTGTGTTTATGTTAACATGTTAATAAACTTGTTTATATGAGTTGTCATGTCTAATAATTTTTATAATTGGAATTATTCTAGCTATATAGTCCAATAAAATTTTTCTTTTTAATAAAAACTTACAAATTAGAGGATATATATATAGTGAGGCCTAGATGAAGAAGGGTGCAGAACATGTGGATGGGTTGTGCAAGGCCCAGTGGTGCAAGGCAGAGAGGAGAACAGTGTAAAGAGGAGCCGAAGGGGGAGGCAGGCGCCAACCGCTGTTGACGTCCCGCGGGAGGCGCTGGTGAGCGCAATGGCGTGGTCTGCCACCCCCGGGGTATCGGATGCACGTGGGCGCGGCACGCGTGCTGCACTCCCTTGGGTGCGGTCGCCTGTCTCATCCTGGCCCTTGCGTGTCTTCTTCCCCGTATTCTTCGGAGCACTCATCAGGTTGGCGGCTGGTGGGGTGGTTGGGACCGTTGACAGACGTGGAGTACGTGGGACGCGTGTCAGAAAGCGAATGGCACCCCCGAATGCCGTACACATGGAGGGTGCAGGAGGGTCCACTAGCAATATAAAAGGAGGGAGGGGGGATCTGGTCTAAGTAAAAGCATCCATTAAACACTATTTCCACTCCTGGTCCGGTGGTCTAGTCTCCTCCCTCCCTGTTGGTGTGTCTAGGTTCGAGTTTGCTTGGTAACATTATTAAGCTATTTTACTCTATTTATTTACTAGTCCTTTGGTTATTTATTTGCTAATCCCTCAATTCCTTATTCTGTTATATTTGCCCCTAGTTCTTTGATTATTTAGTTATATATTCTTTGGGCCGCCATTTTGGGCTTTGTACGCATTTCTGTTGGGTCTCTCGCCCCAATAATAAAAGTATCGTTCTTTTATTCCGTTCTATATTTTCTGTACCCGATTTATGGTGGATCCATCCCAATAAAATCATCAAAAGTAATAGTGATTTTAAATTAAAATATTATAATTTATAAATTACAATATATAAAGTAAAATATTACAATAATATATTTTATTATAATAATATAATAAAAATTATTATACATATTTGGTCTAAGGGAAATTAAAAAAGTTCTATAAGTACAAAACTGTCCTATCAATAATAAATGGAAAACAAAATATCAATGTTGAGCAAAAACAAAAAACTTTTACCTCAGAAAAAAAAAATTTCCATAGACCAAACACTAAAAAATTTAATTTCCCTCAAATTTTAAGAAATCTTATTTCTTAAAAAAAGATTTTCATCTAATCAAACACCTGATAGTGACTGTAATGTCCTTTGTATGGCGTGAAGCCATGGACCAAGAATTCAATGCTCTCATGCATAACCACATATGGTCTCTAGTTCCACCCACTATAGGTATGAGTATTATTGGCTGTAAATGGGTGTTTCGTACGAAGAGAAAGGCTGATGGTGCCATTGAAAGGCATAAAGCCAGGCTGGTTGCAAAAGGTTTTAATCAAGTTCCAGGCCAGGACTTCTTCGACACATTTAGTCCAGTGGTAAAGCCTACAACTGTAAGACTCCTTCTATCTCTAGCTTTATCATCTGGGCAATCTATCAAACAGCTAGATGTTCATAATGCTTTTCTGAATGGTAATCTGGCTGAAACAATTTATATGAAGCAACCCCCTGGTTATATTGATGCTAACTTCCCGAATCATGTTTGTTTGTTAAAAAGATCTCTGTATGAGTTAAAACAAGCTCCCAGAGCCTGTTTAATCGACTACATACGTTCTTACTATCAGTTGGCTTTCAAGCATCCAAGACAGATGTCTCTCTGTTCTATTACTCTAAAGACTCTGCTTTGGTTTATCTATTGGTGTACGTGGATGACATTCTTGTAATGGGAAGTGATCAGGGTATTATATCTCAGCTCTTATCCAAACTGTCTGCTACATTCAAAATCAGAGATCTTGGTGAACCAAGTTTCTTTCTAGGTATTGAAACCAAGTTTCTTCCAGATCTTGGGATTATTTTATCTCAACAACGATATATGAATGATATTTTAAAACGGGTTGAAATGTCTGAATGCAAACCCCTTTCTACACCTATCTCTGTCTCGAAAACTGTCCCATTCAATTCAGATCTATATGATGATCCCACACAGTACAGGAGTCTAGCTGGAGCACTGCAATATCTCACTATCACACGACCTGACCTATCCTTTGCAGTTAATCAGTTATGTCAACATATGCATGCTCCCACCATGTCACACTGGGAGCAGCTCAAACGGGTACTCAGATATGTTAAGGGAACAGTTGATCGTGGTTTACGCATATGACGGTGCTCATCTAGAGACATTCATGCCTTCTCTGATTCTGATTGGGCTGGTTATCCTGAGGATCGAAAATCCACGAGTGGTTTTGCTGTTTTCTTGGGGAGTAATCTTATATCATGGGTTTGCAAGAAATAGAGAACTGTTGCTAGGTCATCCACTGAGGCTGAATACAAAGCTCTTGCAGATGTTTGTGCTGAAGTTCTATGGATTATGTCATTACTGTGT